TAAAAACTGAATATTTGATAATCGAGGAGATATGCAATGAAATTGAACAATTTGACATTTTTTAAAACGAAAGTTTTTCAATATATATACTCCTAATGAAATTTTATTATTGTAATGGCGTGTTGTCCTAGTGGTAACGTGCTTGCCTACCACGCCAACGGCCCGGGTTCGATCCCGCCGTCATTCATTTTTTTTTTTAAATAATTGAAATTTTTTCGTTAGGTAGGTATTCACTGCAATTGAAAAATTCGAAATTTTTGAAAAAGTATCAGGGTAACATGAACATCGAGGAGCTATTCACTGAAATTTTCACTGAAAGTGAAAACTTCGAAATTTTTGAAAAAGTATCAGGGGAACATGACCATCGAGGAGCTATTCACGGAAATTTTCACTGAAAGTGAAAAATTCGAAATTTTTGTAAAAGTATCAGGGGAACATGACAATCGAGGAGCTCTTCACTGAAATTTTCACTGAAAGTGAAAAATTCGAAATTTTTGTAAAAGTATCAGGAGAACATGACAATCGAGGAGCTATTCACTGAAATTTTCACTGAAAGTGAAAAATTCGAATTTTTTGAAAAAGTATCAGGGGAACATGACAATCGAGGAGTTATTCACTGAAATTTTCACTGAAAGTGAAAAATTCGAAATTTTTGAAAAAGTATCAGGGGAACATGACAATCGAGTAGGTATTCAGTTTTTAAACAATAATTCGATTGATTTGCCATTAACAAAAAAAAATTGGAATTAATATGAAAAAAAAAAAAATTGATTGATGCCGGAATCGAACCCGGGCCGTTGGCGTGGTAGGCAAGCACGTTACCGCTAGGACAACACGCCATTACAATAATAAAATTTCATTAGGAGTATATATATTGAAAAACTTTCGTTTTAAAAAATGTCAAATTGTTCAATTTCATTGCATATCTCCTCGATTATCAAATATTCAGTTTTTACACAATATTTCGATTGATTTGCCATTAACAAAAAAAAAAAAATTGGAATTATTTAAAAAAAAAAAATTAATGATGCCGGGATTGATCCCGGGTCGCCGGCGTGCCAGTCGAGCACGTTACCACTAGGATAACTCGCTCATTAAAAAATATAAACTCATTAGTGGTATATCTTCAACATATTGAATAATTTTTTCCATTGAAATTTTACAAGATGTGGTTTCCCCCTTCCGTACGTACTACAGTCGGTTAAATTTCAGTTAAACAAATGAAAAACAAAAAGCATTCGTACAGCAGAAAATAAAATTCACCCCGTCGACTTGATGGACACCCCAGCACTGCAATAAAAACTTGGTTAATAAAAAAAAACACCCCAGCATTGCGTGTTGCGCCCTCCCTCTCTTGGGGTGCAGTACTACGATGCCGCTGGGGTTACTCAAACCCCCAGAACTGAGCCTCTACTTTAGTCAATCTTCTTTGGATTGTCCGTTTGAAAGCTGTAGGTCGCCAATTCTTTCAATAAACACAAGTAAACGAATAATTTATTTTCTATTAACTTTCAATGTTTCCTTCTGAAAATACTGATGAAAAATTGTTAAATTTAATCTCTTCCCTGTGCTTGCGTGGATTTCACTGTTAAATAATTGGGGATAATTGTACTTACGTTAATAATCGTTTTACGAACGATGCAGGTTAACTACTGGACATAAACATTGTTTATATTCATTATTTTAACGATTCATAAAATGAAATCGTAATAATTCAGGATGAAACGACGGTGTTTCAGTCATTATTAGTTTTATTGGGATTTTGTTTATTTGATCAAGTTCAATTTCCTCCTTTCCCTTATCCGACCGAAAAGTAATATTGTTGACGAATCGTGTTTCAGGAATCCCCCGGGGAATTTCGTTGAAAATGGTAATGGAAGATCAAGAAGATGTCTCAGGCCTGGAGTCAGAATCGATTCCAGTGCCCCGAGTGCACGATCCAGCTCCAGTGGCCCCTGGAGAGGTTCCACGAGTGGAAAAAACCCGATCGAAACCTCGTCTCCGAAAGAAAGCCTTACACGCAATGATTCTCAAGCAAATGGAGTTCTATTTCGGGGATGCGAACCTGAGTAAAGACAGATTTCTGAGTAATTTGATTCAAACAGATCCGTGGGTCGATCTCAAGGTATTCCTCCAGTTTAACAAGATCCGGGCGCACACTCAGGACGCCACGAGGATCTCGAAGGCCCTGAGAAGTTCCAGTATGTTGGAACTCTCTGAGGATGGCGAGAAGGTGCGTCGAGTGACTCCAATTGTTCCCAGGACTGACTGCGACGCCTGTTCTGTGTATGTTCAGGGCCTGCCCCCTGATGCGAACCACGATTGGCTGATAAATATTTTCTCTCGATATGGAGCTATAGCTTATGTATCTGTCCCCAAGTACAAAACCAATAAGAAGATCAAGGGGTTCGCCTTCGTTGAATTTGAGGCTATTGAGGGTGCACAGGAGTGCCTCAAGGCCTTCGAGGACAAACACTGCACTCTACCTTCTCACACGTCTCCACAAGAACTCCTGAGCATCACAACTTTCTCAGAGGACGATCCACCCAGTGGAATTGACAATGCCACCCTCGGGTCCAAGCCTATTCCCCAGGACGTCCAGTCTTCCAAGAGGAAGGTTGATTACCCTGAAGGCGACTCTCCTTCAAAAGCGAAACGTGTGAAGATTGAAAAGGAGGAAAAAGAAGAGAAGGAGGAGAAGGAAAAAAATGAAAAGAAGGCAAAGAAAGAAAAGAAAGAGAGTAATGAAGATGCTGAGGAGAAAAATGGAGAGGATGTTGAAGAGATGGAGGAGGAAGGGGATGACGTTGATGAGGGGACTAAGAAGAAGAAGAGAAAAAGGAAGTATAGGCCCAGGGTTGAGCAGCCTGATGTGGTGGATTTTGGATTGAGGATAATGGCCAAGAAAGATTGGAAGAAGCTGAGGAATAAGTATCTTGAGCTCCAAAGGGAAAAGATGAAGCAGTTGAAGCAGCACCTCAGGAAGACCCGATGGACCCACCCGTCGTCTTATGATAGAAAGGACAGGATGGAAGTCGAAGAGAATAATGATGAGAGGGAAAAACCGAATCCTGCTCCGAGATTCGTCTTCTCTGAGGGGCTCATCGTCAAGATCGAGCTCGATGAGCCCTGCAACAACCCCAAGGGCTTCAAACATGAATTTAGGAATGAACCCAGTGTCAAGTACATTGACGTCAAGGAAAGCTCCAATGTCGCTTATATCAGGTGAGAATCCTGTGAGATTTAATTTACGGATTTAATTTTTTTTATGAGAAGAAAGCATTTGATTTAAAATGATATTCCAATGATAATTATTTAAACTTTCAACATTCGGAATTTAGTTCGTAATTTGGAGTTGAAACATTTTTTAAAAGATTGAAAAAAAATTAAAGCCATTTGCCGAATTAAATTAATAAAAAGTATTTATTTATTTATAGAATGACTAAGAAATAATCATTTTTTATGAAATTAATTATTCACTGGTCACCCCTAATTTCATTGGTCTGCGATATCAGGTGCAATGATCAAGAGGGAGCTAAAAATTTCGTCGAGAAATACACTGAGGACAAGGCCCTGAGCATTCTGAGTGGTGAGGAGGAGAAGATGTATTGGAAGAAAATAGCGAGCGATAGGGAAGAGAAATTGGGAAGGAAAGATCGTCCCAAGCAACGGGGCAGAGACAAGCTACTGAAAAAGGCGGAAAAAGAACTAGGAAAACACATTAAATTCGATGAGGTTTAAATTCACCTAATAATGTGCATCTTGTTATTTGTAATTTTTTTCATTTAGTTTCAAAGAGATAATTACACAAAATATATTTTCTAGATTATTCCAAGTTTCTCTTTCTGTTGAGTAGGGCAAAATGAACACTTACATGTTTTTAAAGAAATATATTCAGAATAAAAAAATTAATTCATTACTCAAATTCGTCATTGAATAATTAGAAAGTGAAAAGGATTAAGCATTTTTATCAAGAAAAACAATGCATTCATTTAATATTAATTAATTAAAAAAATTAAGTATCCATTTCACTCTACTCATTCATGCCTCCAATATTCCTTCATGATGCCTCGAAAATTATTTCCATTTATATAATAAATCAGCAGTAAAGAGATGAAAGAATCTAGGCTGGTTTCTGCTCATCTTTAGAGATGGGAAAATTCTTGTAAGATTTTATAAATGGAGTAGAAAACAAATCTACGGAAAATTGTCTGTGAAAATTTTCCTATCTCTCGTGGACTTCTATATATTTTACAAAAATTCGTTACACTGAAATTGAATTAAATTATTTCACCTCGTAGCCACTGGTATAACAATTCAAAGGTGAAATTGACGTGGCATTCAGTGCAACACTCGACGCAACAACATTTACTTCTCTTCTTTGACGGTACAATATGTTTAATATATTTAGGGAGCCCGTTTAATCAAGTCTTTCAGTAATAAAAAAGAGAATATTTATTTTACGATTTTTGCTGTACTCTGTGGAATATAATCTTCACCATCGACCTCGCCCTCTTCCTCCACCTCCTCCACTGTTGCGATTATTAAATCCACCACCGCCACCACCTCGACCACGGAATCCACCACCAGAGCCTCCCCTGCCACCGCCGCGACCACCAAATCCACCCCTGGATCCACCTCCTCGGCCAAAACCACCTCTGCCTCCTGGAGCTCCTCTGGAGCCACCTTTACCACGTGCTGGACGTTTTTCTATTGAACCAGGAGGCTTTGGAAGAAACCTCTGGAGTGGAAGCAGCTTTCCAGGGTCGATGAACAACTAGAATTCACAAAAAAACGTATGAAATTTTTAATTGTATCATAACATTTCAGTGTATAGAAAATTTATTCATTATTCTCTGTCTAAAAAAAACACAAGAGTTTGCATACCGTGATATTCTTCTCAAAACTCGAGGCTTTAACATTATCACTCAGTTTGATAGATACGTAGTAATCACGGATGTTGCCAAATATCTCATCAATCTTCCCTATTTGTTGTTTATTCTCTGTATAAATGGGAGCGTTGAAGTAAGGCACTTGCTCAATATCCACTTTCGCAACGAGATCATCCTGCACCGTCCATTCGAAGTGTCCGAGAGGGGTCACATGCTCAGGGGGTCCCTGATCGAATCTGAAAGTCCACAATCAGCAATTCAAACTGAAAAATATCATAATAGAATGACTTACCCTCTTCCTCTGTCGCCACCACCACCCCGACCTCCTCGGAAGCCACCCCCACGTCCTCCTCTGCCCCCGCCCCTGCCAAAACCTCCACCACCTCCACGACCACGAAAGGACATCGTTATCTTCAAGAAACAAATCATTAACTCAATGAAAATACTGACCTTTATCAGAATAACATTCAGTTACGAAATGGTAACAGGAAATAAATTCGCTGCAGTCTTCGCCGAGTTTTTCGAAAATATCCCCGAAACTACTGAAGATAGCGAAAGTTTTGTAATAACCTTTTTGATACAGCTGATTCAGAGCCGAAAAAAAGGTCCATAGGAAAATTTTTCAATCTCTTTAAATTTCGGAGATATTCCCGAAAAACTCGCTGAAGAGTTCAACTTCCTATAGCCATGAATAACTCGAGAAGGGAAAATTAAAATTTCTCCATTTAGCGTGATACTTAAGACATTTTTTCCCTCTTCAAAATAAGACCAGATTTGACAAAATTGATCTGTAGAGTGGGAAGATATTGCCAATTGAACGACAGCATGTTTAGGCAATTGAGGTTAGAACCTTCCCTAAATGAAATTGATAAATGAAACCTGTTTCTCCTGATTAAATAAAGTGCACAGAATCCACTGACATGACGAATCTGAATATCGCGAAGATTTACCCGATAATAAAGTGTCAACCCTCCGAATGGTCCGTCAATAGAATATCGAAGCACCGCGTGTATAACCTCAACACCTCAATCACCAGATTTCAAAAAAATATTCCTCCAACATCTCTCTTGTGCTAAATCCTCAGGAAATACTTCGGGAGGGCTCATTAGTAATGACGAAATAATTGCCATACCTCTTTGAATTTTTTTTGTTTATAAGGAAATAATATCCACGACGAGTCCTCACAACATGCACCACGCCGTGTCGCACTCTACAGTCGATGCTATATACGAAACTTGACGAAACTGTAGCCTGAAAGATCAAACCGGAGCAGACAAAAAGGAAATGATAAATATTGCACGAGATGCCATTTAACGTGATCTGCATCAAGGTCACGTGATTATAAATAACGAATGCCCAAAGTTGTTTGTTTCGCCTGATTTTTTTCTCGATGCAAACGAGTCCAGAAGTTAACTCCATGAATAGCATTATTTTTTCATTTTTTACCGGTGGGATTTGTGATAAAAGTCGCAGTCGCCTGTGAATTCCTTCATATTTGTAAGAGATTCACCGTGACGTTGTCACAGGTCTTCGTGGGTATATAAGCTCCGGAAATCAATTTTTCCAGTGTTGTATTTATCTTTGTCTCTTGTCTGCCACTTGAAGAATACCGGCTCTCATTCTTGTGCACAATGTTGGGTGAGTACAGATATTGTTATTGAAGAATATTCATGAAATCTTGATAAAACATTCATGAAATATTCCAAATATTCACAATACGGGGATTTTATTTATTGAGACGTGAAGCTTTTTAGTCTATTTTTCTGTTGATGAAAAAGTCAATCGACAAAGACGCGGCTCCGAAATAATTCTGTGACTGTCATACTCGGAATTTTCATGGTTTTCATCGTCAAAAACAAGTTGAAATTTTCTGAGTATCAGGACATCATTTTTAATGTTTAAAATATTTCATATAAATCAAAGCTTTTGCGCTTCGAATGTATTCTCCATCAGAGTACAACCCACAATTATTTATCAATTACTTGTATTTATTTATTTTTTATTATCTATTTAGCCGGATAAATCCGAGAATTACTCATTCGCGAGAAAGAAAAGTCAAGATTATCGAAATGAATAATTTTTCGTTTAAAAAAAAAGGTCTAGCTGTGACGCTGTTGTCCGTGTGTCTCCTGGTGTCAGCAGAATCATGCGAAAATCAAAATGACGATCACTGCATGAGCCAGGACGAGAGCTTCAACCAGGACAAAAACTGGGAGAACGCCAGTTCGATTTACCAGTTCCGTGCCCGTAGCCTCGCCGGCAGCGACGTATCCTTGGACAAATACCGTGGACACGTCCTCCTCATCGTCAACGTCGCCAGCGCATGTGGTCTGACCAGCGTCAACTACGAGCAGCTTGTCGACCTCCATAAAAAATACGCTGACTCAAAAGGCTTGAGAATCCTGGCGTTTCCCTCCAATCAATTCGCCAACCAGGAACCAGGAACATCCGAGGATATCGCAAAATTCGTGAAGAAGTACGACGTCCAATTCGACATGTTCGAAAAAATCAAGGTAAACGGCGACACCGCTCATCCTCTCTACAAATGGCTCAAGTCCAAACAAAGCGGACCGACCGACAACAGTGATATCGCGTGGAATTTCACAAAATTCCTCATCGATAAGAAAGGACAAGTCGCTAAACGTTATACACCCACCACCCAACCCTTGAGCATCGAGAAAGATTTTGACGAATATTTCTAATCAAGTTGCACGTGACAATGTACTCCCATCGGAAGATATCCGTAAAATACATACAATATGGGTGAATTCTATCAATTTTAGCATTTTCTGAAAACGTCACAAATGTTTCGACAGCTTTCAGTGCTTTAAGCTTCTGAAAAAAATTATACCCAATCAGCATTATTTGAAATTCCATTTTCTCCTTCAATTGCAATTGAAATGTGAATTTTCCCTGAAGACATTGCAGTAAAATGATGTCCATAAAAAAAACTACCATTTAATGTATCTAATGTACATTCTGGTGGGCAGTATGTTTTAATAATTACTATTCTCTCTAGAACATAGAAATTCCTTTTCATAATATCTACGACAAGATTATGGAATAAATTGTTAGATTCCCAAACAAAATATCAATTTTATATCCCAAACGCACCAATAAACCCGAGAATATCTTAGTGAAGAAAGTTTTTCTTTATTTTCCTCAATCATTTGCAAATATATACCATTTCACTTTGTTAATACAAATATATACTGTACATTCTTTCGTCATTCCACCAGGACGACATTATATAAACCTTACTTTATTTAAATACATGATAATGATGATTATAATTAATGATAAAACTCTTACTGATTAGATTCAATTCGATATCAAGTGCCAGGGCGTCAGTTCAAAATATTCTATAAAGTAAAATGATCATTTCGTTGTCTCAGTCACTTTAGTGTGAGATTATCAGGTATTCTTATTGCACAGGAATTCTATATACATGCTCTCATGCAGAACTGCGATCATTCAATAACGAAGAAAAAAATCTCGGTACGATAATTGTAGTTCATACGCCGTAGTTCCACGTCGGTGTCTGTGGGGCAAATAACTACCAAACAAAAGGAAGTGGAGGTAATTTAGACCTACAGGAAAGATCATTGACGTAATGTCGAAGTTCCGAGAAAGTGCACCCACTGCCCACAAAAATCTCAAGCAACCAAAATTCAAATATCTCTGTAACTCCCATAGCTACAAAAAAACTTCCAGACAAAAATTTACGTATTACCGAAGCGAGAATAACTTTTGTCCGAAACTTTTTCCGGTATCTCCCACTCTTTCGCGATGAAACTGAAATAAACAGAAAACCGACCAACAAATAAGTTCAGCGTCAGGACTACCTGAGGTTTTAAAACTTGTGAGAAAAAGGCCGCGGTAAAACGGTCTTCAATTAAAAAACCAAAGTTAAAAAGTTCACCGTCCTCCGCCTTCTTCCAGCGGCATCAATCTACAGTCAACAGTGAAAAAAAAAAAAAAAAAAACGCTATCGCATAATTTATCGATGTCTAGTCGAAACGATTCATCAGGTTAAATAATGGCAGTGGTGTATGCGTTTTACTAAAATTGATGCATAACGACGGCTTATAAGATTGACGCATGGACGGAAATTTAATGTCTCAACCGATGTAATACTTGTAATACCGTGATGAACAACAACTTGCAAGAATAGTCTCCATCAAACGGTCTCTTTAGTGTTGGTATTGTTGGTATTGTTGGAATTGATAGTTGACATTTCGTGCTCAGTGGCTTTGTTATGGCCATTGGTGATCGTGACAGCGTCCTCACAAGTCTGAAAAATCACAGAATTTACATAACTCACAGATAATCCAGAATTTTGTTGGAAATAGAGGAAGAAAAGAGCAAATAAATTACCCATAGTTTCTTGTTGTATTTCTACCTTATAGGAAGGATTGTCGTAGGCTGATGTTGTTTTTCTCGGGGATATATCGGCTTTGCTGCTGGATCTCCTCTTCATTAGCATCATGAGGAGAATAAGGGTCGATAGGATTGACAATGAGGCGAGGATGGCGACGATAACGAGGGGACCGTAGTAGTCGCCCTCGTGGAGGGGAATCGAGGCTAATTTTCCCTGATGGGACACACCAGCTTGCAGGACAACTCCTGGTTTTGTTACAAAGTCCTGGACGTTGCTCTTCTTTATACGTCCATTTGTCAGGTAGACCTCCAGCCACAGGCGATATCTCGTCCCTGGCTTCAGGTCGCTTATCAGAGTTTTAGCTGGCGAGTCTCGTTTTGCTATTTTGAAGGTACTCGTGTCCTCTTTTCCAGAGTCACTCTGGTAAATTGCTCGGTAGATGTTTACGTATTTGTCCTCTGGGTAGGGGACACCACTCCAGGTGACTTCCACGTCTTGGGATTTAACCGTTTTTATCTCCACTTTGACCTCGAATGAGTAGGGATCCGGTTCCACTGCGGTTATTATCTCCACCTGCAATTGAGAATTGATTGATTGGGACTAATGACAATGGCGGCTCGATCGCCTGAGGCTTTTACTGGGAATTAATGTCAGAGTTGAGTTGAGTTATTTTTATCTTCCTTTGAAGACAATACCGGGAAAACGAATGAATTCTCAAATAATGTCTGTTAACAAATTTCTTAAAAACAATCCTGATTTCTCTTGCGAACCATTCTACACAATTTAAAAAAAAACATTTTTTTTTCTTCTTATTGTCAATTTTAGTATGTAGCGTCACGATGGGCATTTTTCAAAGATAGACGTTTGCAGAAAAATACGTATACTTGTTGATTATTATTTATGACTTATTCTCTCGGAATTCATGTCGTAGAAGCGCATGATTTCTCCATGTTTTCTTCAACAAATTTGTGATGAAACACGACGGAAAGATAAAAAGTGACAAAGTTACATTCTTTGTAATTGTGATATTAAAAAGAAGAGTATAAGAGATAAACCACATGTAAAACTTGTAATAGACGATATCGAAAATTGTAATTTCGAGAACAGAAATCTCGTAAGAGTATCCTGTAGGAATATTACTGAAATTTCCTGCCTGGCCTGAATGAAACGAATGAAACACCTGAAACATTGCATTGATACTCACCGTCTTATCACTGATGAGTTCTGTAGTTTGACCTGGAAAAGGAATAATGGAGATGCCAATTTCGTAAACAGTCGCTGGTTTAAGATTCTCAATTATGTAACTGGTAACTGCACGATGAATGAGTGGAGTTGCAGCGTAGACCTTTCCATCGTGCTCTTTGTACCTTAATTGGACTCCATCTACGAATTGCATCTCATACTCGGTGAACTTTTTCCACATGACATTGACCCAACTGGAGTTGGTCTCGATGACCTGGAGCTCCGCATCAATTGGTATCTGAGGAGGAAGGGTTGTCTGTTGATCGTGTTTCTCCAGTGTTGTCACTGTGTAGATTCTGCTGCTAGGGCTGTTGGCGATGTCCTTGAGGTTGACAGTGACCCGGACCTTGTACTCGGTAGCAGGTTCAAGGGTGTCCAGATCAAACTCCATCTGGGGTGTTTCGATCAAATCGTGAGGTGGAATAAATATCTGGGACTTCCAGGTTGACGGATCGTGGTTGGATTTTTCACTGGTGTAACGCAGCTCCACGCGACCGTGAAGTCCCACCAGGACTGGGGGAACTGTGAAAACTACCCGGACTGTTCTGTCGTCCAGGGGTTCCACCGCTTTAATCACTATCTCGTCGGAGGAGGACTGACTCATTTTGTCGGGATATCCGCCGATTCCGTGGATCGGAAAACCTCCTGGGAATCTGTTTGCTCCACCTACAATTTTTTGCACTATTAAAAAATTTGGAGTTAAAGGATTTCGAGTTGATTTCTGTGAATTTCTTCGAAATAACTGCTGAACTAAAGCCACTTATTTTTGTGGGAACATTTTTCGTCGGACTAATTGAGAGCTGCATTATAGTATTATAGGCAATTATAATAATTTTCTTGTCACCTTTAGCTTCGAGATATTTGAAAAAAAATCACAGATATAATTTCATGATAATTGTGCACCTCAAGGTATCACGGGGTTATTTAAATTTTATCAAGGTGCAATTGAAAGACAAAGATATCTGAAATATTGATGAATTTAGCAGAAATGATAAATATTTGATTTTCTCTTCGCATTACTGGGGATTTTCCATTAAATTCCTGTAAATACACGGCAAACTTTTAAAAATAAATAGTTCTTATGAAGATTTAAACTCGGAAGGCTAATTAATAAGGAAATAAAATGGGTATAATTGGCTGGTGCGAAAAACATCCCCGTGATATCAGAGGTGTTTTGGAATTCTAAGAACTACCCAGAAAAAATGACCCATGAATGAAACCAAAACTGCACTGTTGAAAAGAATTACTGAATTTTCCGATAATTACAGTGATCTCCCTAAAAATTCGAGGACATCCCACTGATTATTATTTTTAATTAGTATATTTTACTGATTTCCTAATCATTTGAACGAAAGGACAATAAAATACGTAACTCTTCAACAACAAGATTTCCTGGAATTCCACAAAAATTTGAGTCGTCAATTTTATTCCATTTGTAATTGAATTTTTACTTTCAATTAAGACTTATCATTTGGATTATTCCTTCCCGATATAATACCCCCGAAATCTAGCGTTATCGTAATAACTATAATAAAAATTTTTCATACTCAGGTACTCATTTACCCAAAACCTGATTTCAGTAAAAATATTTTCAACAGTGCCTCCTGACGATGACAATTCAGGAACGAACCTGACTGACTGAACGGATGATTCAAGTGTGTGACAACTCCTGAATTCGTTAATTGTGGGCCTATCCTAGGTGGTGGCGGTGGGCCATTGTGATAATTATGTACAATAGCCGGTGCATTGGGATACTGTTGAAAGGGGCCAAGATTGGAGTCATGCTGGCTGATGTGAGCAAGTAGTTCCTCGATCTGATGAGGTGAATTGGGTACTTCGGACGTATGAATATGATAAGTCGTCTCCCCATTTTCATTCTTATGAGCAACGATCTGAGGTCTAGGTTTCTTGTTATCTCCAGGTGGATTGAAGTAGTTCGGCTGTATCTGATTGCCAGGTGATTCTCCCTGGTTGGAGATCTGCTGGTGAAATTCGTAGAGGCCAGGATGGCCTTGGGCTGGTGGATGATCGAGCTGTGTCAATCCGGGATGATGGAGATTGATGAGATGGAGTAAATCGTCAGGGAGAATCTCTTGCTCTGGCTTGCGCTGTCCTGATTTGCCTTTTCCTGGGGATTTACCCTTGAAATCATCCACAAAGCTGTCGATCCCCTGGGGAATTTTCTTCTTGCTACCGTTGGTGGAGATGTACGGGGGTCCAACCTCAGAATTATCGAAGTGATTGGGATCGAAATGCGTTGGAGGAATGTTTTCTCCGTTGCTCGGGGAGAAAGAGTATTCCGGTGGATTATTGTGGTCCAGGGGAACAAACTGGGGTTCCGTGTTCTTCTCTGGTTTGTTGGGGTTCTTCTGGGAAAGGCTCGAGGGGTCTTTAGTTGTTGGAAATTTACCCGGAACTAGTGGCCCTGGGAAATTATGCACTTGTTGCTCTGGGACCTCTTTGTGGGGCTTCAATGGCTCCACTGGTTTCTTCGTATCGGATTTTGATTTCGACTTGTCTTTGACGTGATTCGATCTCTCCGGGGCATGGGTTGACAGCCCGAATATCTCCTCGATACTCGACTCGGTTGGCTTGAAGTCTGGATTGTATGGCCCGTTGTAGTACGGGATCAGAGGGTGGGAATCCGGGTGATAGTGGGTTGTCGTTGGGGATATGATTGTCGTGGTTTTTTCTGTGTCTTGGGGGGATGGAAATGAGGGGCTGTTCGAGGGTTTTAGAATCGGAACTCCTGGAACCGATGGTGTCGAGGCCACTCCTGCAAACGGGGAAAGTCCAGTGTCAGGAGGTTTGTCTTCGGGAAGAAAAGAAATCAATCGAAAAATCTATTTTACCAAATTCCAATGAATTTCTCTTGGAATTCTCCTGCAATTCTAATGCAATCAGAAAATTATGGGAAAAAGTTGATATTTTTCATTTTTTTTGTTTCAATTTTTCTCGGGAAATTATTTCTTTTAGATTTACTCGGAAATAAAAATATCGAATTTTTATTTTGTATTGTGTTACAGGATCTGACAGAAAAAATTTTACCGGAAAATTTAACGAGAATTCGAATTTTCGAATGTCGATGGCATTTCCAACGAGTTTTCAAAGAAATCCAAGAGAATTCAGAAAAAAAAAGTGGAAGATTTTTCTATTGAATTTTTTCCTACGTCTTGGGTTGTGGGGTTTCTCCAGTCTTCCTTCTGGATTCTCCATGCATATTTACACCTGCCCTCGGATATATACAGGGGAGACGACAGGGCTCGAGAGACATGCATCTGGATTTAAAAAGTACTTGGGGCTTTGAGGCATGTCTTCAGAAGGGACTTGTTGACAGGATATTTAATTCTGAAGAAGTGATTCATACTGGATACATACACTTGGAACAGGAGAAGATTGGGAGAGACCGTGGGGAAATTAAATTCAATCCACTGCTATTTCTTTGAAGGATATAAAATTGAACCTATGAAATTCTCTAGAAAATATTCTCCATTGACGATTAAACACTGCCATAATAGAAAGTAAAGTAGAAATCAAATAGAATTGTCTAGCGAATTCGCTGGTTTTTCTATGAAATGTTTTCATACGTGAATGGAGGCGTTCCGCTGGGAATCTAGAGCAGAATATCGATGAGAAAAGAATAGGTAAAAGTTGTTGATATTAAGTCAATTCCTCCTCACTACTGCAGCTAAATTGTTCTGCCATGATAATTAATACAATGGGGACAAAGAAGAGATTTTTTTGATAGATTTAAAAAATTTCCCTGACGAACTCAAACCGTTTGCACAAGAAAAAACATTCATATTCTTTTTGTTTCTAGATTCGGAAGATAGGACAATATCGAAATCAACTTTTATCCCAGTCTTGAATGCAGAAGACCCTTCACCCAGGCCAATACAACTCCAACTAGTTAATTCCACGGCTGGGACATGGAGGAACAATCAATGAGGCGACGTGAGTATGAAGACTAGTATTTTATCTAGTTTAGTACGGATTGAGGAATTTACCTGAAGTGATGTGAGTAGTGTCGCAGACCCAGTGAGAGCAGCAATCATCACCAGGGAGTTTCATCAGGATTGCTTGATTTGTTGGGCACTGCAATGTCGGTGGTGGCAGAGCTGTCACTGGAGGACAGGCAGCTTGACATGCCACTTTTCCCATTTCGCAGTAACACCTTTTCTCACATCCAGTTACATTACTCGGAATTTCACTCCAGTTGTCGTATGTTCTGCCCTCGTAATCGCAGGAGCCATTGTTCCTGCAGCGAACTTGCTGTTGAGGAGATTGGGAAATTAATTTTGATGAAAAAAAAATAAATTTTCTTCAGGATCTTTTACATAATGTACACAATTGTACACAATTGTACATTATTTGTCAGAGTTTTCAGTGACTTGACTTTAGCAGTTGAGATTTTTTATTTGGAAAATAAAATTATTATTTAAGGCGTTCACTCATGTTGAGGACTCAATGGAATTTCGTTCTCCAGGATTCTATTCTCGTTGGAAATATCAGAGTGAAAATCTATTACACTTCGTTATTAAAATTTTCAATTCCTCGATATTTTAGGGTAATTTTGTGAGAGTGTAACCTGGGGACAGCACTGGGGCTCCTTGGGGACGAAATCGGGTGGCACAGTCTCCCAGTCGAGGCAGTGGGGGTCCAGGACATCCAAACCGAAGTCCGTAGGGCATTCTATCGTGACGCACTCGGTTTTTGGGCCCTCGCTGCACATGCAGAAGGAGATGCACTCGTCGTACCATTCAGCACCAATTTTGTGGTACTTTCCACGGTGGAAGCAAGAGGTCTTGTCCATTTTCTCGGTGATGTTAGTTTTTATCACTTCGGCTGGAAGGATCACTCGGATTGCGGGGCCTGTTCGAGGCCCTTCGGCTATTCTTACGTAGTAGCTGTGGGCTGGTTCCAGATTTGACAGCACTCCATCTAGATAATTACATTCAAGATATATAAAACATGAATAATTTATAAAAGTCCGGATTGATTCCATCCAATGGATTATTGCCTCAATAATCAACGATTGTTATTCCGAAAATATTGTTACATTATTCGATATTTTAAATCACCCAGTTGAAGGAAATGGTAATCGTAATTTAAAATTGATAATTTAATTTAATCAATCGATTAATACATCGATGAAATTAATTTCCATCGGTTTTATTGGGAGTGAAGGGAAAATAATTACCCTTGTCAGGTTTTTGCTGTCTCCAGACATGACTGTTTTCCGAAATTTCAACGGCAGCTCCATTCGACAATTCAGATAACAACTTGAGTTTAATCGCTGTAGAATTCAATACTTTCACGTCAGCAATATTAACCGTGAGATCGGCGGCATTCTCGGATTTGATCTCGTGCTCACCCAGGCTAACATCGCACAACGTAATTGTGCAGCAAGAGTCCCTGAAAAAATGAGTAACTATTGTAGTAGAAATTGAAAAAAAAAAACAATTACAGTATTATGAATATTGCTTGATTAGAATCTCGTAATTAAGTAGACTGATGAAAATATGCGGAAGGAATGAGAGTTTTCAGGTGAAAATAAATGAGTAATTACATGAAAAACGTGAATGGCAAGTACATAATTAGAAAGCAGGCGGGAAATTACAATTGGCGGTGATATTATACGCGTTCGTCTCTGGAAATTAATTATGCTTCATTAGTCTACAGTAAGTGATATTTTTTCTCTGCGAAAATCTGAGTTCAGGGATAATTCTGGATCATTACAAAAATCGTAGATCGAATGCAGTAGATTCCTCAGGACGTCGATGACTCGAAGCTTTAGCTTTTTCAGGGATTTAAAGAAAAAAATAAACGATGGATTATTATTCACCGTGGGTCTGGAAGTGCAACACAACGATCGTGCTGTTTGATCCCTGAGCTGGTGTCATTGGGTGGACATCTGGGTTGACATTTGAGAATTCCCCCGGCCTCGCAAAGGCAGACCTGCGAGCAGCCATCCTCAACCTTCTGGCCTCTCGCTAGACTTTTATTCCCAAAAATACAGGATTCCTCGGGTTCTGGTGCTGAATCAGCGCATACCAGGGTAGCACAGCATCCATCGGTGTCCAGATGGTGCTCCTCGCACAGTGGATCCTGATTACCTCGACCTGCCCTGAACGATGGACTCACGCATCGTGGCTTGCAATCCTGGACAACTCCACCCTCACCGCAAACACACATCTCCTCACATCCTCTAGGCACTTTATCACCAATTCCGTACGTCTTGGTTCCATCTCGACATGATGATTTCGGGGGGACAAATGTCGGATGGTTGGGAGAATCTGTTGCATTCTCACTACCAGGGAGTTCATCTGCTGGAGGAAAAATTTATGAATAAACACTAGTCTGTTGATTGATCGATGGAATCGATTTTAAAGGAATAAATCGTTGGCTTAGGCTTCCTCCCGATTTTTACAGTATCGTGAATCTACAAACCTTCCATTTCTTTATCCTCGTCATCCATGCTGACGTCCGACAAATCCGTCAGATTAGCGTGCAGGGAATTTGTTGGCTCTGGAGCTGTGATATTGAGGGCTCGAGCTCTTGAAGCATTTTCAGTAATGGGTTCTCCACGGAGTAGAAACGGTGAGATACTTCCGTTACCGGAGATGTTCTCCTTCTGGGAAGGTCTAACAGTAGGAAGAAAGATTGAGGGCTCATTGGTCGTTGTTAACATAAAACTCTTCAATTTCTCCTCGCTCTTAATATCCTTTGGCTTCTGATATTTCGTTTCGTCCTTGGGTTTGAAATCGGTAGCTGCCGTCGATTTCTTCTTCATCTCCGCCCCCTCCTTCAACGGTTTCTGCACCTGCAGAGCGGAATTGTCGTCGGCACCGAGGGAGAGAACTCCTGGTATTGCTTCATCTAGAAAAATAAAACCAGAACTATTATTAGAATATTATTGCTTCAGTGATATTATTTACTGGGGGTGTTGGAAAAAATATATAAAATATAAAATCACCGAATGAAGAAAGACTGGAGAATAAAACAGGAAAAGACACAAATAATTATGAAATTAGAAATAAATCTAATATTCCAATTATTAAATCCCGGAAATTCTTTTTTCCTTTTCACATGATAATATAATACATGATATATGAATGAATATATTATTTAAATATTTTTGTTTCAGTGATTTTATTATTCTGAGATTAAGCAGAAATGATAAATGTTGAAATGTATACGAACGGTTTTATCCCTTCATTATGTAGGACATCTTGTATTTTTATTTTTTTTTATAATATAATTATCTTTTGGAGACACTCGGTCAACCGGATATCGCACAAGGCCACCTGACCATTAATTATCCCTCATATAATGCAGTGATGCCCCAAAAATTAGTATCTGTGACACAGCAGATAACCGAATGGATAGCGTCGATGCATGCGCTAAATTGTTAATGTTTTTGCATTACTCCGGTGTTTCTCAATGTCATGATTAACGGTACCCCATGATTCAGTGACGCGTAATAGCCAATCATTTGCCCCCTAGTTTTACACTTGCCGACAATACACCCATTGACGATAATTTTCCCTCTTTTATGTTTGTTTTTCTTTTATTTCCCTCATGCACTTCACGGTAGCTAACACCGTGGTCACGGTTTTACACTTGCGGTAATGTAATTGGGAAATTGAGGGGAACACCAACCGGAAGTGCCAGTTCCGGTGCGGGGAAATTCCATCTTTGAAATTTTTGGGATTCCCGAAGTTGTCACGACAATTGCACCACTTTCTCCGGATTTTCCGGGTGTTTCAGCAGCTGGTACTTCATTATTTAACAAAGCAGTTCAATTGTTACTGTACGCTGAAATTATTACCGCTGAAAAGTTTAACAAGGCAATTGCTAATATCTAAAAAAAATGGTTCTTTTATAATTGATGAGAGATGATTTGAATTTCTCATCATCAGGTATTTAATTATTCAAAAATAAATGAATAAATAGAATAAATTTAATAGATAATAGATTAATTTAATAGATAAATTTTCAGTAGTAATATCCCAAGAGCATTAAAATTGTCGGGTCTTTCTTGATAATTCTAATATTTCTTAATTGCAAATAAATGCGGGTGTCAAGGTATTCGCAATGAAAGAGAAGGTGCGTTGATCTTTCGTAACACCAAGAGATTCTCGTACCCTCGTGTCATATGATTCGGTATTAAATCACCCGAAGATCATCATCCTTGCTCCATTAATCCAAATCAATCGAACATCATAATTCGTTCAGTCAAATGAACTTTAACCAAAATGATTCAATATAACAATAGCAATAAGAATAATTAATAATAATTATTTCAATTCATTTATTTTGGATTGATAAAATACAGTTCAATTGCTTTCACGTAAAAGTATCATTTATTTATCAGTCTCGGTTGCAAAAACTTATAGAACTGATTTAAAAAATTCGACTTCCAATATTTTCTATTTTACTTAATATTTAATATCAAATTAATACGTCAATAAAAAATTCCACAGAAATTCGTGGCCACTTCGTTGTAAAAATGTCAAACATGAAACTTTGAGTTGATTAAAATATAATTTAATGAATTAACATTTAATTTATTGCATTTTAATTATTGAACTTTTCCACTTGAAATTCCAAGTGCAATTTTCTAACTCAAATCCATAATTAGAGCTCTGGAGTCTAGCAGGTGTTTCGCAAGGACAGGTCGAAGTCTTGGTGGAAAACTTTCGAGAAGTAGACGTATCCCCCTGTCTCAGGAGAACCGGAACGAGCTATAGGTCGGGACCAGATGTCTATGTAATACTTTGGTCTATGATAGCTCGTTTCAAAATCTTCACTGGATTTCTCGAGAAACTGAAAATGGGAACCGGAAGTCTCAGGATTTCAGTTGTGACGTCATCGTTTAAGGATTTACTGAGGTAATTGGTGATTTGCATGGGATTTTCTCAGGACTGAGAAGAATTTCTCAGTGCCTTCTTTTGCCTTCTCAATTAAAAAATAATAAAAAATGGAGGGACCACGTTTGCAGACAATCTTGATTAGAAGCTGAGGAGCCAAATGGACTTCCTAGAGTCCGTAATAATCCATTTCCTTTGGTATGTGATCATTATTTTTACATTAATAAATCACCGAAAAAACTTTTACATAATAATTGCTATTTCATTTACGAATTCATTCGATTTCTTAGAACACATTTTTTTAAATCATTTTGACGCGTTTCCTTACTGTTTTATGATTCTTATTAAAATTTCAGGAAAAGGGAAAAACTTGATATTTTCCCCTGTCAATCCCACGCTGGGACACTAAGTTTGCCAGAGAAAGGAAGAGACACATGAATTCTGATGGAAAGGGAACGATCCTATTTATTTTTGCCCTTCGTATAATCATGAATTCATTACGCATTTATTCACGGAGAATCGAGTGACTTGTTCTGAAAATAAATACAATTTCTAAAAAAAAAAAAAAATACAATTTCTAAAATCTGTACACTCTCTCTCCATGAAGTCCCTTCACGTGTCATTCCACATCATCTCTTCATGTCCCTCATTTCTAAATAATTATTACTACTTAAGTACACGCTTCACAACTGCCCCTTGAAGCATGCATTTCTCTAAGTGAACGAAGTTTTTCTCGACTCGTTGAAAGCGACGTACCAGAAGAATAAACTCAGTACGAGGCATTATACGAAATCGTGTCCTCAGGGGTACAAGAATATCCCCAAGGCGACATATATACTCATGTAACACATGCATGAACCTCGAGGATCGTGCACGAAGATCATACTCGATTGGATTTTTTATTTGAATTGATAAAATCATTGGCCCTTTGGTCTCTGTACACAATGCCTTGCTCGGCTTCCCTGGAAATCTGATTGATTTTTGTGGTCAATGGTATGAGTTGATATTCTTGAGGCGTGTCTTTCTCGGAGTTCTTGGAATTCAATCATCGAAAATCACCAACGGTTTTTAAATTATTCGTATATTATACCGGAGGACGGCAAGTAGGGTAGGATACCGTAAAACTAGCTGCTGTAACTCAGAATATTTCATTATTTTCCTCTCATTTTCCTCTCATTTTCTTCTTATTTTCCTCTTATTTGATGATAACAGTCGATGGTAATTTTTGTGGTCAAGTTTTTCGCGAATATCTCCAAAACCGAGGGAAATAGTGAAATTTTCATTAAGATGTGTTTTATAGAATTAATTGAGAACTATTAAAAAGGTTATTACGAGAATTTTGGTACCTCTTCCGGTTTCGGAGATATCGGCAGTAAAATTGTTGAAGGGGTTTGTCTCTGTTTCTGTTTTTTTTATCTTTTCGCTACTGATTTTTATTTTCGATTCGAGGTAATTTTTAGGATAAATTTTACTCCGTGAATTTTTCTGAAGAATTTCTCTCCGCGTACGAGTGATTGTCCATAAAAAAATAATCATTAATTCCGTCGAATCGGCGGTAATTCCGGTGATGAAGATCTCTCGGTGATTACCCACAATTCTTTCCTCATTACTCCATCCACTGCCTTTCCCCAATTTCGAGGGTAATGAGGCCACTTGTCATCCACTAAATTGCCAGATGAAGATGTACCAGGTGAACCAAATAAATGTGCTCTACCCAGTGTTAGAGCCATTGTATAATCATTGATAATCATCGAAGGGGGAAACAATTCGAGAGATGGGATTTTAATCGCGTGATCACTCCACGAGTTGTGAAAAATTTCTCACGGGGTAATGAATTACTCCGAGGCTCATTTCCTTCAGCATCAATGACCCAATCTCACGTGTTTTTGTATCCATATGTTAGTGAATATCACACGTTAATGATTTCGTCCGTTATTCGTGCGAGTTCTGGAGACGCGTTAAAGAATTAACTCCATCGACTGAAAAAAATCTCGCTATTTTCCTGGATAATTCTAGTACGAAATTGAAAATTTACGGAAAATAATCACGTATTCACGTATTTACGTATTTTAGCGTATTTTCAATGGAATTATTTAATTTAATTTTGTTGATAGAAAAGAATGATTTAAAAAGACATTGAAATGAGGAAAAAATTAAATTGGAATTTTAATTATTAAAATACCGGGTATTTTATTCATTTTCAGTGATGATTGAAATTTTAAATTTTCTCAAGATGACGAGGAATTAATTTTTTTTTCAGCAGTCAACATAAGCACGTTCAGCATTTCTCAAAAGTAAATTATCCGTGACGGATGGCATTGCAGGGACTGCCCATCGCGAATTGTTCTCACAGATAATTTTCGCCGACTAGTCGAGTGAAAGGAACTCACCGAAACAAGATGAATAGCTGTTTTTTGAACTCCTTTCGAGTCATCATCGCCCCAGGTAAAACCTGACAGGCACCCCAGCCAGAAACCAACGAAAACTCTTCGCCCATTGACCAACAGGTAAAAAATTCCTCAAAAATGCTCCTCCCCAAAAAATTAAAAAAAGTGTAAGTTAAGAATGCATTGGCTCCACACTCTCCCAAAATTTGAAGGTCACGGATCATTCGATGACGAATCCTCACGTCATGTCCGTTTGATAATCGATTCTCAGCTGGTGGCCTACTTATTTTATTTCCATCCAAAATTTCCACCCAAAAAATAGTTATAACTCCCACAATTTTTCGTGACCCTCAAATTTTTACTATTTCTTTTTCATCTTCGATTCCATATCGGATTGATTTTATAGAAAAAAATTGTAGAAGCTGTCAAGTGGTTTCTATAATTTTCTCGGATTTCTTTTTCAACGTTTGGAATTTCCCGGCATTCCATGTCCGATGCTCTTGTGGATGCTGGAATCATGTGAGTTTTTATTAATAAAGATGTTATCATTCCCCGATTTTGCATTATTTTAACTGAATAATGAGAAAAATTTATAACAATCCGTCGTATGTTATGATTCATATCAAAAAGTTTCTCGATCGTTTCGATCTACTATTCTAATTTTTCCGTTTTATTTTGCTGAAGAACTATAATTATAACTATAATTAATAATTTGAATTAATTAAAAAAAAATAATATTTTTCAAATTCCTAGAGCAGATAAATGTTTAACAGAATTCAAAGAATTGTATGGAATTTTAATTTCTCCTCAATGTTACCCAATTTTCCGCCAATTTTTTGTAATCAATTCCTTAATTACTATTTTGCTAACGCATTACAAAACGTCTCAATCAATTTTATAAAAAATTTATCCCCATGTACTTGAATAAATTCCTATAAATAGCCGAGTATATATAATAAAAAATTTCAATAATTTTCTGTGACCTCAGAAGGCCCGAGTGGAATTCCCATGACGACGAAGTGGGCGACAAACCCGCCCCGAATTCCCCTGAATAATAATTCCCCTGTAACACCACTCAATCCAACATTCATGAGTCATTGGAAAAAGCCGAGAGGTTTGCGCATTGAATGGAAATCGATCGTTACGCAAATGTCCGAGGAAGCAGAAACATCTCCTGGAAGTTTTGTTTGTCGACGCCCATCGTCTACGTACAGTCCAGGAGTGATTACCCTATTACATCCGCCCTATTACACCTCCACCATCAAAACATATCATCCGAGCAAAATGAAGAAGACAATGAAAAAAAATAATAATAATAAAAAATGGAGAAGTCAGTTCCACAGAGGTGGATCGGTGAGACTCGATTTCCCCTGTGGAATCCATCGCACGTCGCACACTTTCCACACACCCGGACCCCATGGGTATCAATACTCAAATCCAATTTATCTGAACTCATCGATAAACTCGTAGAAATTCATTGCAATTTTATTTTTTTTTTATTTACACTTGTAACAAGCACGCGTCGATAATTGACTCAAAAAAAAAAAAACTGCATCAGATTGAAGAATAATTAAAAAGATTATTTATTTATTTATATAGATTATATATAATTATTCCAGGATAATCTACTTGCGATTAAAAAATAATTTATCAAATCAAGCTGAAGGGATTCATTCAATTGTCTTTAAGTTTCAAATTTAATCTATTGTTTTATTTTTTTATTAAATCTCCGTTTGTTTTGATAAAAATTTGAATTTGCAATCTGAAGACGATTGAATGAATCCACTCAATTTAATTTGATTAATGATTTTTTAATTGTAAGGAGGTTATCCTGGAATAAATAAATAATTAAATAATTAATTATCTCTGGAGTAAGCGCACGATTTCTGGAATGTTTTCGTTCTTCAGTCTCTGATTTTTTTGTAATCCATTTTCGACTGGTGTCGACTGCAAAATGTCGTTATTCTAAATTTATTGTTACTAAAAATTCCAAGTTTTTTTTCCCACTGATAATTCAGAAATATTGCAAAATTCCAAGAGAACTGAAAATAAGTGATCCTCAATTTATTTACATCTTCATTATAATAACATAATATTAAAATGAACTGTAAAATTGCATTGAATTCTTAGTAAAAATTATTCTACCCGAGCTCGACTACATCATCGATTTTCCAATAGATCGAACAGAAAAACAAAGGAATATTCAATTTTCCGTTTCAATACTCCTGAGATTCCCGTGAAAGTTCAACTGAGATTTGAAAAAATCCTGGGAATTCAGCGAAAAGAACTTGATGCAAAAACTATTTAACAGTCCATTAAGACTGGATCCATTGAACTTACCATTGCCATCAGATCTTCCAAATCTGTTAGCCCCCGCATCCCCGAGGAGGCAAAAAGCCCCGAGGACGAGGAGGATGATGCATATCCCCTGAATCCTCATTCTACCGCATTCTTTCCACTGTTCCAATTAATATCCCAACAATCACGAATAATCCTCCACAATTCAGCACTCACATTCACTTAAAATCCAAATTCACAGTTTGAATTATATCCCAATAATCCCGAATCCCCTGCACCGATGACAGCCAACAGATTGCACTTGACCAGTTTTTTATAAATAATTACAAAACGGGTGGGGGCGGATGGTGTAATTGATGTGGAATTATCGGTGAAATACTGATTGACTGAGGTATAATAATGTGAGAGAAGCGGGACTTTACCTCCTTGAGGTACAGAGACTGAAACGAGTGTAGCAACGAGAGAGGCGTTATTCCTCCTAGCCCGTTCCTTCGCCTTCCTTTCGTTTCTACCTCCAGTTCAAGACTTTTCCACTACAGGTTCACCTGGAATAGGTGTGGACAACACTCAGAAACATTTACTGTCTTCCTCTGGCTTTTAGCTTGTCCTATTTCCACTCACTCCAACAGGTTCATTGCTTTTTCGTATTCCCCTCGACGAGTTCTGTACCGATCAACAGTTGGACGTCTAAGAAAGCTGCCCAGTCGATGGACGCCCATTTTTATAAATATAAAAAAAACATTTTTAACATTTTAACATTTGAAATTGTCATTAGGGGGCGAGTACGTGTAATTATGGACAGCTCGGGATTATTGGGGATAGTGTGGATTTTTTTCTCGTCATTTTCTGGAGATGAGTGGACTGTTCGGCTCTTGGATGGTGTTCATTGTATGGATGGGCTGTTCTACTATTTTCTACCTCCTTTCCTCTTTTCAGACTATCTTCGTCTTTCTTTGGTATTTTTACACGACCAGCTACTCTTTTCAGGAGGTTACAACAGGTAGATACAGTTGGTCGGTGGAATACCGATAGATGCTGTGAGGATTACGGGTCGTCTGTGTGACCTGATCTTTTTTTTTGAGTCCTGGGATTATGGAGTTTTTCTGGGATGCGGTTACGGAACTCCAGGGGGATTTCTGGAGTTTTGGGATCAATGAGTGATTTAGATTTAGATCGGGATTTTCGGAATTTTTATTCAGGAATTTTAAAACGATAACTCGCTTTTAGATTATTCTACGTTTTTTTTTGTTTCTGGCGAATTCTTATTTGATTAATTAATCGATTTTATTCGAAATCACGATTTTTTATCTAATCCCCGTAAAACGGAATTTTTAATGTAAAATTATAAATAAAATTTTAGACTAAAGAGCGTGAAGCCATGGATTAGAAGAATAAATTATTTTATTCTATAAAGTTTGAGGCGAAGAAAATAATCAAAACTCGAGGCCTTAATGATCATGTAAAAAGTTAATTACAAGTCTTATTAATAGGTTTAATAATAATGACAGTCTAATAATAAATTGAATAATTATTCTTCGGTCAAACTGGTGTGACAGGCAGTCCACAGATGTCATCACTGCTCGACAGGTTTTTTTTTCCTCGAAAAATGTTCCACGTACAGTAATCCGAGTCAATTGTTTATCCGCTGCTTACGTGTAATTAACATCAGAACAACCTCTTGGTCCAGTCACTATGGCAACTAAAGTAACTCATTATCATCATTAGTTATCCTCGTAATTCTCCTTACAATTGTTTGTTTATTATTTTATCACCACCAGATTCACGAGTTCAATGTGGAAATGACCTGTGAAGGCTGTTCAGGGGCGGTCAAACGAGTCTTGGGAAATAAATCTGGTGAGTTTCACAATAAAGTCTATAAAAATAGACAAATCATTCCATTCACTCAGGAAGAAACTATACATCTCCCAAGAATTATCTCCATATATAAACTAATTGTAAGTAATATCTTCCCTTCACTGAAATTTCAATGAAATGTTAATTATATCATTTACAAATTACTTGTTTAATTCTACTGATAAATTGAGTCTTTACTCCACTGATAAAAATTTCAGTAAACGAATTTGCATTGTTTATGGAATTATTCGGGAATAAATTGGGACGATGCAGGAATTTTTATCTTCGCAGGTATCGAAGACGTGAAAATTGACTTAGAAGGAAAAAAAGTCTTTGTCACATCGGCTCTCCCCTCAGATGAAATCCTGGAGTGCATAAAGAAAACTGGGAAATCCACTTCCTTCATTGGAGCCAAGAGCTAACTCAAACTACTCCTAGCAAGCTGAATCCCTTCTTATGTGTTCCAAAAAAAAACATTGCAATATCAAAAATGCATTAAACAATACAAAGTTAAAGCATTTGAAACAAGTGATGCTGAGAAAATATGACAACATTCGTAAACCTCATATTTCTTTAATTATTTATTTTCTATAAACTGGGAAATTCCTTGAATAATCGAGGACAATGCATGACTATCAAACAGTGAATGGCACTGCAACGGATTGAATAAATACATTCTCCAAATACAGAATATGATAATGTGGCCAAAAATTCCACATCATCAATGAATTGAGCCTTTCGACATTAATTAACTCCATGAGCAATAAATTAATCATATACATACACATTATATCGATTGTTATGATAAAAAATACTTTAGTTTTTGAGTCTCTCCTCAACATTCGTGACTCTCTGCTCCAGGAGAACAATTGTGTGCCTTACAGCCTCTAATTGGCTGCTGAGGAGTTCTTCGAGAGGTAGAGTCACATGCTGCGTGAGTTGTTCTCCTCCTTTCTGCTGTGACCACGAATCCTTCAGATTTATCACTTCAACTGGACACATCTCCCCTGGAATTTCTGCAATTGGACCAAAACAGCTTCTGCCTCTCTCCATTTCCACACTTAAATCCTGCATTTCTGTTACATACTGGGATGAAAGCAATGTGATTCCTAAATTTATATCTACTATTTTAAAAAATGCATGAAAAGATTAAACTATTAAAGACTAATAAAGACTATTAAAGTCAAGGGTTTTTTCTATAAATTCAGCTGAATCCCTTTTGGATTTTTCTCAAAATTCTCTCAGACACTCGATAGAAAAACGTTGATGAAGAAATAAAAAATCTGTCTGCATAATTTAATTTCATTCTGTCTAAGATCTTGACGAATTTACCTCCAGTTCTTCTTTCTCTCCATCTTCTTCACTATCCTCGATATTTTCTCTAGCATCCATAAAAGATCCTGAGGAGTCCTGCCCATCTTCAAGACGCAAGGCGTCAAGCTGTGATTCCAAATCCAACCTGGCGTCGTCTGGATAGAGGGTTTTCTTGCCCCTCCTGCCAGCCTCCTGGCTATCAAAATTTGACTTCCAGATTAACAGCTGTTGGTCAGCACCACCAGAGGCGAAGAATTCACCGGATGGAGAAAAACCAATGGCTCGAACTCCTCCACAGTGAGCTTTCAGTGTGTAAATTGGTCGACCCTCCAATAAATCTAGAACCTAATGATAATCTCGATGAAAACTCGACGCGAAAAAAATCTGCTCAACTCAATAATGAACTAAAAAATTAAATTTGCAAGTTAAAAAAGCACTTCTTATCTAAAAACACTTGAATCCATTGGCACGAATTAATGTGTTTCATTGACAAAATAACATGCGAGTTATTCAACAAAATAGCATAATTTAAAATATTTCTATTGCAATAGACTCAGTTGAGGAGGGGAAAGGAAGAAAGATAAAATATGTAGAAAAGAAATCAGCACATACTTTCATAGACGCGTCCTCCGAGGCTGTCAGCATAAAATTTCCATTCGGATGAAATTTAACTTTATTGACAGCCCCAGTATGAGCAGTATAATGTTGCAACAGCTGGCCAGTTCTCAAATCATAAAACTTGACGCATCCCACTGCGTTTCCAACACCAATGCCTATCCCACTGGGATGGAATTCTGCATCGAGGGCTGGATCTTTGAGTTCTGTGATTGTTCTTACACATTTCCCACTGGCAATGTCCCAGAGCTTGACGGTTTTGTCGTCTCCACAGGATACAATCAGTCTGTCATCTGGAGAGAATCTGGCGCAGTGGACCCAGTTGGTGTGTCCTACGAAGGACTTGAGGAATCTCCTCCTGCAGACGACCCACATTTTGATAATTTTGTCCTCAGAGGCTGTCACTAAATTTTGACCGTCTCGACAGAAACGAACGGATTTAACAGCTCCTGTGTGTGCTTTGAAGTCCAGGGACTCTCCTCTGACGGTTGGTACCCAGATCCTCACTGTTCTGTCTTTTGATACTGAAGCTATTACTTCACCAGAAGGCGCGTAATCGACGTCAAGCACTGCATCTTTGTGAGAGATGAAACGATTTGCTCTCATGGAGTCCGCAAAGGTGTACACCATAAATGTGTTATCCAGGCTTGAGGTTGCCACTTGGGACTCGTTGGGGTGGAATATTAGATTGGTGATGGCTTTCTTGTGACCTCTGAAGTGACGTTCCACCGTTGGGTCACAGGGGCTGTGCATTAGAGTCGAGTAATCCTGGTGGACGCAGACGTCGATGTGAGCATTAATTGCAAAGTTCTTGGAGTTTTCATAGACAATAAGAAATATATCAAACCCGTAAAGAATACCAGAACAATTTTTTTTTTTCACCTCGATCCCAGATACCGGCCAATAATTTTTGACGAGCGAGTAATGACTTTTTTTTAAGCGAATTCATTCGTTGATTAACGGTTGATTCGATATAGATTGACCGATTGATTTTTTCGGTGTAGCCCCTATATAATTATTATACAATAATTTTTCTTCTTTTTCCCGCGAAAAAAATTCTAACCTCCAAAATCGCTCGTTAATTTATGAAAATAAACAAGAATGCCATTTTGGGCTCACAAAATCGTTTAATTTATTAATCAGAAAAAGATCAAATATAGGACTGATCAATGCATACAAATACGAACCATTTTTTTTTTAGATATCTCGATCCTTGAGATGATGGAAAAACAGCATTCACTTTTCTCCAACCATTTTTTATTATTTTTCAATCCAGTGCTTCAAATTATTGAAAACCTGAATAATTTATGTTCTGAACTTGAAATTAACACTTTAATTGGAGATCTATTGAATAATTTATTATAATTCTACGGGGAATGTGTTGAATACTTTGGAAGCACCGTTGACAGTTGCTTTTAAAAACAAAATCATAAAAACTACGTGAGTTAGAAAAGCATCAGTAAGCGCGCGCTTTGCATTCGTTTTCGAATTTTTATAAGTCAACTCCGATTTTTAATGAATTGTCAATTTTTTTAATAATTTTTATCATTTATTATAAAATTATTGATTTCTTTGCAGGTTGAAGTAAGATGGCGTGAAATGGTTTAATAAATGTTTCTGTGAATAGAGATTGGTAAAGAAGTTCTGATTAACGCTACAATTACTGAATATTGCTGAGTAATGCGGGTAAAGTCCACTACGTGCGGTCTCGAATTCTATAAAAAACATCTTGATACTAGATTTGGATATCGTAATGGACAGATTACCCAATCAATCCAAATCGTTCAGAATTTTTTTTCACATCATAAAACGTGATATTCTAGCGAAAAAAAAATGCAAATCAATTTCGTACTCATTAAATTTTATCTTTGCACGTAAAAAAAATATAAGAGACGGGAGAGATATTGATGATTACATCAGCAATGCTCAGCGACTCCAAATCGTCATCTATTCAACGGATATGATACGTCTATTATTTTCTATAAAATTGAAAAGATTAAATTTCCCTATTCTCAATTCTTTTATTTTATCGAAATGGAACTTCAAAGCCAACACACAAATCAATTCATTAATTTCCTAACAGGAAATATGATTATTTTTTTACTTGATAAAGATTTAATACTCATCATCAACGACTTTTCAGATTACTCTTATCTAACAGTTTGAACTTTATTTATTATTTGATCAGTTTAAGCAGAAGTTTATCGAACTGAACAAAAATCGAACTATTCAACTTCGGTTAATCAAAACAATTACAACATTTACTGATATTTTATATCTTGTGCAGTTCCGTACAATTAATAAATTTGCTGCAGTGTAATCTGTGAGAATCAAAGGCTCCCAATAATGATAATAAATAAATAATTAACGTATAAAAGATATAATAAATTTCACACGGAGAAGTGTCCATATATTCATTTTTCGAGAGATCCCCGAATTTTAATCGTAACCACAAATTCGAAAGTTCAAATGAAAAACTTCATTTTGAACGGTAATTAATTAATTCCTTCACAAATGGGATGCAATCAGTGTCCATAATTTCCGGACATTGTTTCACGTCATTGCAGCCGTGTAAGCTGCCATTGGAATCCAATAAACCTTGAGACAAAGGTTGATCATTCATCAATTCTCAATGAAGCTTTCAGATTACAATCTCGATGAATTTCGCTACTCACCTTCAATCCATCTCTCCAAGGAATACTATCTGTATTAATTAATTTCATCAGAAAAATTTCATCCCTTTATAACACAGCCCATAATTATTGATAACTTTGTATATATTATTATTATATATTATAACTTCTTAAGTATATAATTATAATTTACCTGCATTTTTCTAGACTTCCCAAGAATTCATAAAATCAAACTAGAAAAAAAACTGAAAAATTGAATAATAATGAAATGGAAAAACGGAATATTTTTTCGGATTAATCGGATCAAAAATTTGTCAGAAAACTTTAAAAAATGGATTTTGGTTAAAAGGGGGAAGAAGGTTCTTACGAAATTTTTCAATAGCAATTTCAATGTGATTCTTCCCGAGCAGCTGATGACGATAGGACGACACGGACGACACGTGGTGGGACAGTGACACCACTCGGAAGTGAGACAGCCAGCTTTTCGCCAACATTGACAGAAAAAGAAGGAGAGATCCCCACCATCGGTTCGCCAGTGCAGCCCCGACCGCCCCAACACTTGACTCATGTAGTGGTAGTTGAAGTTGGTGGATTAACACAACTGCAGGAACATCCAAGTCCCACAACACAGTGGAGATAACACGCGTTGTCACTGGGCTAACGTGGGAAAGTGTGAACCTCTGTACCATAAAATACCAAGTACCTTTTTTTATTGTCATTAATGTCTTGTATTTATTAAAAAAAATCATTGAAAATTATGGCACCAGTTTTGAGTAAATACGTAACGAGGAGAACTGCTGCTGGAGCATTTGCATTGAGTGCACTGATCTGGTTGCTGAAGAGGAAACGAAATAAAAGAACTGCCAAAGCCAGGTATAAGTCTAGTTGATAATCGAGGAGAAATTCACAGTTCGTGGCGCAATTCATGGGGTTTTTCTCTTTTTTTACTCTTTCGTAGGGTTCTGTGGCCGGCGAATGATGTGCAGTACGTCATTAATGAGGTATTTGGAGACTGGGAAGTGGAGTGTTTTGAACAGTGGATTGATTTATTTTTTTTGTTTTTTAATAATCTTCTTTTGTTATTGCAGCAGGGGAAACCCAAGGGTCCCAGGGCACACGTCGATGCCGCTTTCTTCCGACAACTCTATCGACTGCTGGCAATCGGAATACCTGGGGCATTGTCTCCTGAAGCTGGATTTGTCCTGCTCATTGCTGGATCACTTGTTGGAAGGTCACTCTGCGATTTGTGGATGATCAGGATTACTACACTTATTGAAGGGTAAATTGAAAAATTCTGAGAGGTTTGGGCACTGGTTAGCACCTGTTGGTGGTACATTCACATTTAATTTAATTGATGTTCATTCTGATCTACAAAAGTTTTCATAATTATTTTGCTACCTTTTATAATTGTTAAATGAAAATGTTAAACATGAAAATTTATCCCAGGAAATTATTTTAATATTTTCATATCCATTTTACTATCGACAAATAGAGGAGTATAATTAAAATATAATTAGCAATGAAATGAATAATTTAATGGAGGGGTAAACCTAATTAAACTATACTTTTATAATTTTCGGAAAATTTAACGACTTCACTATAGACTTCATTCATGAAACGTCGAAAAAATTGGGTTTCCTAAAACATCCGTGACAATGAGGAAATTCCACGATTCTATGGCATGAGTTATTGATATTGAAATCAGTATGCATAATTTAAGAATCGGTTTTGGAGAGATAAAGGCTAATGAAGCGGACCGAATCGATTTTCCTGATATTAAATATTGAATTACCGTTATTGTGAGAGATTTTACGATGGCTTACATAAATAAATAATTCAAATACCCAGAGAATTGTGAACATTTAACTATAGAAATTCTACAGAAAGATTTTTTTTACATTTATAAATATATTATCTCTAAACCATTCATGAACATATGAGATTTCTTACGAAAAATAACGAATTTTCTGCCTTTCTCAGAACTTAATTTAAGTGAACGAATCTTTATGTTAATTCCTCTCAAGGATGCAAAGAACTTTTGTAACGATTACATATATTTTTACGTCGATTATCACTTAATAATTATTCAGAAACTCTATTTCTAGAATATGAAAATTCGTTCAAATTTTTTAGTTGTTAATTCTTGAAACCTGAAGTTTAATTTTTATTGTTTTATATACAAAGTCGTAGATCTTTTCAACATTCAATTCCTAATCGATTCTTTATGTTTTTTTTTTGAAAATTCATCACTCTTTATGACTAAATTGCTTCCAGTGGGAAAATCTGTTTTCCTCCTATTCCCAGAATTTGAAAATGGTCTTAATTTAATTTTCAGTGCAATTGTTAATATGGATGGAAAAGGTTTCAAGAAGCTCTTGCTGACATTCTTAGCAGCACTACCAGCGGTGAGTAAAAAATTCACTAAAACTTTCTGCATCAAATTACAGTTCGTAAAAAAAAATATTGACCAGAACAGAAGAGATTACCAAGTCGATTAAATTGAGAGGTGAGTTTCCACGGAATATCTCTGAACCTAACAAATAAATCTTTATTTGCGCTTTACGAAAAAGTTGCTGACAAATATTTAGCTTCTTCGATTAAATTCAGAGAACAATTCAACTCGTTACCCCCTGCCTCTCCACTAATTTATTAAAAATTCTGCTAACGCTCTGTAAAAATGATAAAACTTCACTATCCATGATATTTTAATTATAATTATAATCACAAATTTCACCTGCTGTTTTTACAGATATCAGTGGTAAATAATTTACTTAAATATGGAATTGGGGAGATGAAGTTGAGGATGAGAACGAACATAACTCGATATCTACTGGAGCAGTATCTAAAGTAAGTTGTTGCAGCGCTTCATTTTTTCAACACTTAAATCGTTAAATTATGTAGTGAAGGGTCAAGACGACAGACAGCAAATGTTTTATGCATTCACGTCCGACCATTAGCATCGCTCAATATTGAATTGCATTGAACAGCATTGTACTAGTGGATTGAAAATGACTTATTCTCCAGGGGATTCACCTACTACAAGATGACGAATTTGGATACACGCATTGCCAATCCCGATCAGCTGCTCACTACCGATATTGATAAATTCTGCGACAGCTGCACTGATCTCTACAGCAACATTGCCAAACCAATTCTCGATATTGGAATTTATGTTTACAGATTGACGTCTTCTTTAGGTGGACAGGTAAAAAAGTTTATGACACTGCCGTGTCTTTATGACTGGACGTTATTAAATTTTCCTTTTATCACTCAGCAATCAATTCAGAAACGAAACGGAAAATTGTTTGAGGATATCCATGTGATTTACCATTTTTTTCATACAAATCCTCCTGCATATTTATCGTCGAACGTCAAACTCGTGGAGTTGTAAAATTGATTTATTTATAATTATTTTTCATTTTTTTTTTTTGTTAATTCTCTCGCTCATTAAATTTATTCACCGCCAAAATTATTTTACTGAGGCGCGGATGTGCGAGAGATGTTTTTCCTTCATTTATTTTGGTTGATTCATGTTGTTTTTTTTATTTTTCTAGACACCTGCAATGATGTTAGCGTACCTAGTGGTGGCGGGTACTTTCCTCACTCATCTCCGAAAGCCCATAGCTTCCATGACAGCGAAGGAGCAGAGGCTGGAGGGTGAATATCGTCACATAAACTCGCGATTGATAACGAATTCAGAAGAGATCGCTTTCTACCGAGGAAATAATCGAGAAAAGCTGACGCTCTTCACTAGCTTCCACAAATTAGTAAGAATTAGCTTGAAACATTAATGAAATTTCTAATAACAATAAAAATTATAATGTTGACATTTCATCACAAACAGATCAAACACCTGCGTGGACTCCTAGAGTTTAAAGTGGCAATGGGTGTTGTCGACAATTTCGTTGGAAAATGTGAGTGTAATTTTCTGGTAGATGAGATTCAATTGGATGAAAATAGAATAGTCAAATACTTTGACTTTCAGATGTGGCAACTGTTGTTGGCTTCTACGCTGTAAGCATTCCATTCTTCCAAAAGGATCACCCAATGCTCAGAGGCACTTCTCAACATCGTTTCAAGCACTACTACGAGAATGGCAGAATGTTGGTGAAGTTGGCTGAAGCTATTGGTCGTCTTGTTCTTGCTGGTAGAGAAATGACACGACTGGCTGGCTTCACTGCACGTGTCACTGAAATAAGGGGTGTTCTGCAGGACCTCAATGAGGGAAAATACCAAAGGACAATGGTGGCCGAGGGAAAGAATGAATCGATTGGCAAGCCTGGATCCGGCAGAATAGTTGCCAAGGACAATATCATAAGATTTGAGCATGTACCACTGATAACACCCAACGGGGATGTTCTCATCAAAGATTTGAGCTTCGAAGTCAAGTCTGGAATAAATGTATTGGTCTGTGGGCCTAATGGTTGTGGAAAGAGCTCCCTATTCCGTGTTTTAGGCGAGGTGAGTTGAGATGGAAAAATTTGCTCTGAAATTTTTGTGAATTATTGAGACAACTGTAAAAACTGATTCACTGATTTTCGTGAAAATTTGAAGCTCTGGCCTGTGTGGGGTGGTACTGTGACGAAACCACCAAGTGGTAAACTCTTTTACATACCACAAAGACCCTACATGACCCTCGGAACCCTCCGAGACCAAGTTATCTACCCCCACACTCAAGCAGAGATGCTGAGGCGTGGAAATGCGAAGGACGAAGATCTTCAGAAATATCTCGACCTTGTGCAGCTTGGGCATCTGCTGGAACGCGAGGGTGGATGGAATACGGTGGCTGATTGGATGGATGTTCTTTCTGGAGGCGAGAAGCAACGAATAGCTGTGAGTAGAGGGGGGAAAAAAAAATTTTACGAGGGTGAAATCAGATTAGTCAACACCCACGTCAAGAAAAATTTCCCAGTCGGCCAGAACACCTCGCAAGAATACTAATTTTACCCCACTTCTTACAATATTCAGATGGCAAGATTATTCTACCACAAACCCCAATTTGCAATTCTCGACGAGTGCACCAGTGCTGTGAGCATGGACGTCGAGGACTCCATGTACTCCTATTGTCGACAGGCAAATATTACACTCTTCACGGTCTCCCACAGGCGATCCTTGTGGAAACATCATGAGGTAATGCTAATTCTCATCAAAATATCCACAATATCCTGAAAATATTCGCATTATTGACAATTCCTTAATTTACCTTTAAAATTTATTACGATTATCAGAATTCTTCATTATAATTTCAGTACTACCTCCTGATGGACGGCAGGGGATCTTTCGAATTCAAACCAATTGATCCGGACACCGAAGAATTCGGATCATGAATTATCGTGTCGCTCGCGCCCGATGGCTAGTAGCAAATGTGTACAGGTGCGGTTGAAACTCAGATTGAGAAAAACAAAGTAGCTTCAATATCGAGTAGATAATATTGATGAAATTGATGGGACACCCGCCTTGCACTGTCCATCGACTAGATAAGAACAAATACCGAACAAGGGGCGCTTGTTGACAATTGTGTAGAGTGAAACTTTAGCCACTAAATTAATCGATTCATACCATCATTTCATTATTCATGAATTTACGCTTTTAATACTGATAATAGCAAACATATTGGCTGCCAGAGAAGATTTTAAGCCGATCTTTATTTGAAAGTTGAGGAATGAATAAAAATTTATTTTTTATTATAATTTTCATTCAGATAGATTCTTAACAAATCGAATTTTATTATTAGAATGAGAGAAGCAGCGGTATGCATAGTGGTAATTTCATGAAAGCAGTAACGTTACTCATAGTTTGAAATAGATAATTAATTTATTTTCACTCTACACAATGAGAAATTAACCCTGAGACCAACCAATTACGAATGTCGATTTTAGACATGAAAATCTAGACATTGACAAATTTCTACAATCAAATTTTTTTATTCTCCTTCTCACCTTTCTCCTCATTCTAAACTAAAATTCATAAAATTCGCACATTATCTAGGGTTGATAGATTTTAAAAATCTGTTGAACATTCGAGACAACAATTAAACTAAAAACCAAGTATTGTAAATTTAGAGTTTTTACTTAATACAAATAATATGTTTCCTCCAATAGTTTTTACGTTATGATTTTGGGATGAATGTATTAAAACATTCATTCACATTCCGAAATCAGCTGCAGGGTAGGGTAGACGATTAAAATATACCAGTCATGGAGCCGAATAATCGATACGTTTTTCGAACGTATCGAAGCAATTAATGAAAGTGCCACAAAATATGGAAACGAAAATTATCATGAGCGTAATAAGAGTTATTATATTTCTTGCGACAAATTGTCGAAGGGTCTGAGGACTGAATAAGCACGTGATAATTATTGTAATTTAGTTTATAAATTGGGTGAGAAAGTTTATGGGAATATTAAGGTTATATCAGATTGCTGGACAATAGTAAATAAAGAAATTATACGAAAAAAAAATAAACTTGTATTACCTCCCACACAATTCCAAGAAATGATCCCGAATTTCTTCAAAGATCCTATTCAAAGAATGACGTCCCGTTTCAAAACAATAACAATACCATTCAACCATCACAACCTATTTCTGTTTATTTTTTTTTATGGCTCCAGCAACATTGGCTATACGGCCGCTATCCTATCATATTTTTCGCCAATATCTCGGAATTGAAGGAACATTGTCAATTTTTGTGCTACACAAAAGATATCCACATAAAAAAAAAATGATATCTTCCTTCAGTTTGGAGATATTGGTTACTCTATAAAAAACTGGCCTCTATAAAAATTAATTTATCCTAGTTTACCACATGGTTACAGAATTGATGATGAGGAATGCATTAGACTTGGAAAAATGAATTTTGTACGACCTTTAGGTTGTTGCTACATATTTGAATAGCCCGCCAGATAGTCGGCGCATTAAAGGCTGTCCACTGGCCCGAGTCTACACGAGATGGTGGAGTGGGGGACGTGTGGGAATCGCGTCTGGCATCAGTGGCGCAGGGCAGAGACCAGTCGTGCAAGGGTTTTCCACGAGTTGAGGGGTTAACGGGTGATGAAAAAAAAAGGGTAATGTGGGCGGAATATAAACGTTATCAATCACCCATATCCCCATAATCTCTGAAGACCCCTAAGGCCCACCTCGACTGCTAAAAAACTCCGTGAAAACGACAAGTGTAACCAATAACGTTGGTCTCTTCACCCAAAGCACCTCCAAAATGCTGATCCCAGTGTTTTAACAACCGACTCCCAAAGACTGATAACGCAGTGAGTGACTAGTGAATTTTCAGACAATTCAACGTTTGTCGTTTAGATAATTTTTGATAAATAAGAGAGAAAATAAGTGAATACGTAGCTGACAGTGCGGTGGGGTTTGGGGGGAGGGTGGCGGTTTTTAAAGAGGGGGATAGAGAGCGCGTGCAAAGGTGAGAGTCGTGAAGCGTTTACATTATCAACAACAATGGACGGTAGCTCAAAACAGCCATCGTCCGACGTAACGGCAATGGATAATACAAGTGGCAATAAAAGTGATAACAATACCCACTGTGCATCACCAAACAATGCAACAACAGGCGATCACGACACTGAATCAACCAAAGTATCAGCGCCAATGTCTGTGACATCATTCAATGACGGCACATTCTGCACCACCAAGCCACGTCCAAGCAGTCGAAAATTATCGAGTGTCGAAGCTATTGACATACACGAGAATAGAAATATCCACTATCCACCCAGTGGTGTATTAACAACACCAACATCACCAGCATCACCACCGGGGTGTGGCTGTATGCCTGTTGGTATACCCATTATTGATAATGACCAAATAACCTTAAGTATAACACCTACTACCGGGGGATTGTTCGATATCACTGTCGAGAGAAACGAGACCATCGAGAACCTCAAGAAAATCATATCCAAGAGGCTCAAAGTTGCTAAGGAGAGAATTTGCCTTCTTCATCGCGAGAGGTAAGACATTATTCGACTGAATTATCATTTCAAGGTTATCGAAATTGCTCTCACAGTAAGCTCTATTATTCCCTGAAAATCACGAGGTTTTTCTTCATCACGTATTTACAAACCCAGTGAATCACTGGGATTTCTCCGTTAGTCCGTTTTTAACTCCTCAGATGCTCTGAATTTTCTGAATTTTCCATTAAAAAAAAAACATCTCTGTGGGAGTAGAGTAATGAGCCTCGGCTCTGAAAAATTGATATGTGAGACCAATCAATTGCGTCTGTCAAAGCTGTAAGTTATTCCCTTGAAAAATACTTCTCTCGTCATCGGAAACCGAGAGAAAACGTGAGACACGGGGTGAGGGGAGAATAAAAGATGAAAGAAGACGAGTGAGAAATCAGCGTAGCCTGCACTTTTGGCTGTCCGAGGCCTGGACGATGTCGTCGCGACGAGGTACAGCGTTGGCGAGGCGTTGCGGGGCGTGAAGGGGGGAAGGGGGGAAAGGGGGTGAGGTGAAGAGGGGCTTGTGGGCGTAGCGGGGGCCGGCAATCCTCCTCCTCTGCTAGGCCACATTTGAAAAGTGAGAGAAAAAAAAAAATTGGAGAGAAAAAGGGAAGAGACACCGAGGTAGAGACGTTGCTCGGTTTTTGTACAATTGCCTGAGCACCAGTAGGTGGCGAACCAAGGAAATTGACTATTGGACAAGACGACGAATACGTTGGAACACGCGTCGGGTGAAACGGAGGTCGACATATTAGCGACACATGTAGAAGTACGGAAATCGATTTAAATAAAATGATGAATAATCGTTTTTTGTTGGGGGAGGTCGCACTCTATTCTGGGATGTTGAGGGATTTTTTTTTTTTGAGTTTTTTTTTCTCTTTTTTTCTTCGGTGGGCTTGGCTTGAGAGCTCAATTGCTCGGTTATAATTCTGCCGATGGTGTATGCTGGAGAGTCGCCTCGTTTCCTTTGTGACGCCCCGAAGTGCCCAAAGGCCTCAAGACACACTCAGGTACGGGTTGGGTCACACCGATGACTGTACACTGTATTGAACAGCATCGAGAGACACGTTTATTCGGTTTATTTTTTACTATCTGCAGGTCGGTGACGAATGCCCGTGGAATTCTCGATTTGCTTGGGGAATGCTCGAGTTTCCGGATATTTCTTCGTACTTTTTTCGATCGTTTTTGAATGGAATTTCAATCTTGAGGTGAAAAAGTCGAGATGTGAGTGTCGGTGTCGGGATAAATCGAATAATATCTGTTGAGAAGTTATGAACTGGGAGGTGATTTTTTTCGTCGTCAGGTCGATGTTAGGATAATAGGATATCTTGGAATCCAACGAAGATACGGATTTTTTGGGGGATATACTTATTGTAGATTTCATTTTTCTCCGCAATAAAGGTTCAGGATAAGATATTGATATCTTTCGTCGGTTCTGAGATATTGGAGAAAAACTGGCCTCGAAAAAATGTTGATTTAGTTTTACTGCTTTAATCCGGATTTATTATTATGAGAATAATAAACCTTTTTGTAAGAGTTTAATTATTTCAACAATGCGACATTCGTCAATCCTCAAAATCTATTGAATTGCTTGACTTTCATTTTGTTTTATAATTTTACTGGATCTACGTAAAGGAAATAGGAAAATTGGAGCTGGAAAACGCAGGAACTGAATAGTAATTGGAGTTCTTACATATTAGTGGTATGAAATTATCTAGGTGACGAAGGACTGGAGAACTAAATGTCAGGTTTTTTCGTATCTGATATTTCACTCATAATTGACTTACTCTGGTAGTAATTACACAATTCAATGGGGAAAAGCCGATTTCTATCTTTTGGGTCAAAAGGAAAGTATCAGGAACATTTTTCAAGGGATATTCTCAACCACTCGGCGATGAATACGTCATTAATGATAAAAAATGGAATTGGATTTGAAAGGAGGTGGAGTCCAACGGTTCTGATAATGTTTTCGGTTTCTCCGGGACAATAGGATTTTTATAATTTCCGTGGTCCTTTCAACTCTGAAGAAATATCCCGAGAATGGAATCAAATTTGGCCTATGAATAATTTATTTTCGTTAAATAATTGTTTTTTCTATTGCCAAATTTCATGAGGGATGTAGCTGAAATTAAAAATTTATTTCAAGTTAATTTTGAGTTGACAAATCTAAAATTCGATTGAATCCACTCTCAACTTGAGTAGAAATCCCGGTGAATGCGGATAAATATGAAAAAAACTAAATTCTCTCCCCTAGAACCCAGAAAGTAATTTTCAAATGCAATTTTCCTCTTCACAATAAGTTCAGATCAAGTCAGTAGCTTGTCACCTGAGACCGAGCATTCACCCCATATTCCCCGGAACGATCAATTCATCTCGAAAATCATCGATTTAAGGTGAAAACCTCAAAGGGATTTTTTTCGAGAGGATTAAATTACCTCCAAATGATCTCTCCTGGTACTTGCCCTCAAATCAATATTAATCAATCAAAAATGACAATAAAAAACTCACCCACGGCATTCATCTTCGTTCATCCCTCAACAAATAACAAATAAAATAACAAATTGAGGATTCTTCTCTTTTAAAAATATTTTTCATGATAATTTTCATTGAAGGGACTTCCATTTTCAGAAATGATTCTCAGGGAAAAAAGAACTTTTTATCCAGCGTGTACATGATCCCAGGGGCCTTGGAGTAAGAGAGAAAGCGATAAAAATAAAAAATGAAAAAAAAAAGGGAGATAAATACAGATACATTGGGTAGAATACATGGGGCTGTGGAATAGGGGTCTGGGAGACTGCTCTCGTGGTCGGGTAAGGTATTTCGAGACAGACTCACCACGAGACAGGATCTCCTCGTCTCTCTTTCACCATTTTAAATCCATCTCTCTCATTTCTGCACCCTCATGCTACTCCATTTGTGTGCGTCACACTGGGCATCAGTCGGGCAAAATTTTCTATATGTACGTCCAAGCCACTCTTTTCATCTTTTACCCTTTTACAACCTGATGGTGTCTGGACTTTAAATAAATTCCAATAATTTTATCGCATGGAAGATATTTCAAATCACCCGGTTGAACAGATTAAAGAGATAATCTCATTCATTTCACGGAGGATTTCGTGTTGCGTTGACGCTTGTTTTTTCATCTTCACGTTAGGTCGACCGGAAATGAGTTATTCTGCGGTACAATTCTAACAGGGATTATCACGCTCTTATTCCATGTCACAATCTCAAATATTTACATTTTTACAGTAAATCTGGGGTGACTCATTTGAATTATTTCTTCTATTCAATTCGGAAAATCACTTTTTCCTCCTTTTTGACCAAAACTCGTCATAAATTTCATGAAATTATTATTAACAATAATAATATTCACAATGATTTCCACTCCACTGCTAAAAACATTAGAATCCATCCAGAAATATTTCTCGTATTAATAAAAAATCGTAAAAAAATCCGACGAAATGGAAAATAGGAATAGAATAATATTTGCAGGGAAATTATTTCTGAGTAAAGTTGAATCCGGTTGAATTGGTGGAAAATATGGAAATTGACTTGTTCTGTGGTAGAATTGGAGGAGAGAAATTCTCGACAGTGGTGAAAAGGTTCTGAAAAGAGTGGCCGAATAAAGGTCCTAAAAAGAGAGAGGGTCCTTCGGAGGGGAATGGATCGAAGATGAGAGACTAAAGCCGATTGGGGTTGTAGTGGTGATGGTTAATGCTACTTTATTCACATCTCTCTCTTTCACCTCTGGTTTGCTCAAGCTATCTCTCCTCTCCTCCCTCCATTGGGTGTTTCGTCCTTCGACCCCTCGCAAGCTACTTGAATGCGTACATATAGTCATCCTTATGTATAAATGGTGTGGAATATACAGTGTATGCTGTGACATTGTGTGTACAGAATGGGCCAGGCCTCGTTGCCACTTCTTGGCATCTTACTCACCTCGATACACCTTTTTTGGAGTGGCTCTGCACATGGCCAAAATGGTATATCGTGAGGTAAGGTCAGTGGGACGTCCACTCTAGTCTCGTTTTGTATCACCATTCCACCATTTGTCCACCATTTTTTCTCCATTTTTTATATTATTCAAAGTCTACAAATCCTAGGTTCGGGTCAATTCACTCTCATAAAATTTGTGGAAAATTTCAGCGACTGTTTATTCATCTAATCATTAAGTTCATTCAATCGTTAATTACGTCGATTTACGTTACAAGTATTCGTTTTTATTTGTCCCCGGATTTCGCAGAAAATTAATTCGTTGGGCTATTAATTTCATTTATTTTTATTAATTCAATTTAATCCGTCATATTAATTTGTATTTATAAAATTGGAAAGGCGACTCGAAGCAGGGAATTATTTAATCGAATCTTTTTAAATATTGAATAAGAAAAAATTGAGAAAAAATTGAGAAAAAATTGAGAAAACCCTTTTTGGTAGTTGAAAAGAACAAGATAAAGTTCATGACTTCAGAGGACACATTCTTTCTGTAAAATTTGTTTAAAAAAGTATTTGTTTAGGATTAAAACCCTCTCCCGTTCAGAGCACAACGGATCGTAAATTAGGTCTTTTTCCTGGACTCTTTACCCAGTATATCGTAAATCTTCGTCGAGTGATTTTTGAACAAAGCATGAAAGAGCTGTGCGTGAATATTCCAACATTTATGAAAAGGAAATGGAAAAAAAATTGTTTTACAAAATGTAATTTGCTTGACGCTGATTATCCATGAATTTTTCTTCCAACATTCAACTGACAAATTTTATGATTGGAAATGAGCAGGAAATTTCAGCTAGAAATTGAAACGCATACGTCTGTCTTGAATATTTTTTTTTCATCAGCTGCAAGTCCGATTGCTCTACTCTCTCATAAAATCCGAATTATTCGAATATTTGACTCTTTCCTATTCATGAATGATGAAATTATTTTTTCCTCGAGGTGCTGTTCAATATTCCCCGTCGAATAAATTAATTTCTTGCCGGAAAAAGCGATTCTCTGGAATATTAGACAGTTTCCATAATTCATTTTTGAGAAGACAGTGTAGAAATACTACCTTGAAAGAAATTTATTGAATAATTTTCTTTTATTCCCATTCTTACGCAATTTATATGAAAATATTTATTAATTGAAAAATTAACAGAAAAATCCTTTCGGAAGATCGACTGTTAATGTTTCAAAGTTGTTTCGGTATTAAATATTTGTCATTGATTTGAAGAGGATTTTACGAGTCGATTCGCTGTAAGCAAAAATAAAACACGTTTCGTGTGTTCGATTGAATTTTGATGATCGAATGACGCAAGAGAAAAATATACAAAATGTCATTCGGTAGAAGTGAAAACGTTCCTTTATTTAAATTTGAATGATTTCGATTGCAGTTATGAAGAAGGGAAAGTAAGGTTTTTTAAATATTTATCGAGAGATATCCAATTACATTCCCTCCGTCTCTCCATCGGCTTTCCCCCATTGAAAAATGCATTCGTAATTAATTAATAATAACCTGTAAATGTTGAATTCTGGTTAGCACGACCGGTGAATATACAGTTGGCCGTTTGTCCGGACCCTGGGATTTACGGTTATGTTACCGTTATTACCATGACGATGTCCGTGGTACCTGGGACCTAAGGAAATTCTCCATTTTCCAGAATTCTTATTTCGGTTTTTACAAAATCTCGCCACCTCTCAAATCCCAACGACACGCGAGAAACATCCGATAAATTCAACTAAAAATACAGAAACGTACAAACGGAATTAATTAGATCATTAATTACTGCGTGAATTGTCCGTGGAAATGTTTCCAAAATTGGAAGTGTTTCATTAAACAATTCTATAACAAACGAATAACAAACAAGTACCGAATAATACTGATTTCATTCCGTCAAATTATATTGACGTTCAATAACTCTTTCGACAATATCTTCCAAAATAACGGAAATCATGAAATCTTTGTGAAAATCTTTTTTCGAGAACTAATTGACAGCTGCAAAAATGGTCCTTACAAAAATTTCGATATGTCCATTAGTTTTGGATTTATCGCTGAATTTCCAAGTTTTTAAAATTAATCATCTGTTTAGGGCTTCCACGTGATTTACTATAAATAACCAGAAATTTTTCCTCAATGGCACTAGGATTATTCGGTAAATTGCGAGTTGTCAAGTTGCACCAGAATTTTTGTAGAGAATTTCTCTTCGTCATGTTCCTATAGATGTCCTGAGAGACTTGAAGTAGAATGCATTTCCGAAATGTGTCATCTCGCTGCAATGTTCTCAGTGAAGTCCTTTCAACTTCAACTGCTCATTGAGTTCCACTTGAAAGCCATTTCCATCTGCATTTTTGACTCATACGCTGATTTCAAAAGCCAAAGGACCAACTTCTGGACCACTTGTCTCATGGTCTTTTACTTTTTCATTTCATTTTTGTTGATTTCAATGGAAGTCCCCATCCGCTCACGAAATATCAAAATAAAAAGTAAACAAACATCAGTTTTAATTGTTTTACAATTGTTTAACTTCACTATTGCACAATTTCACGTGAAATCAGCGATCGAAAGGGATTGATGTCTCGCAGACAAAATCGGAGACCGATTTTTCTTCGGTTGCTGGCTTCACATGAAATTGCATTATTACGAAATATTTTCATTCCGACATTTTTACGAAATATTTATTTCAGTTGCGATGGAAATTTTATTGAAAATTTCGGATGGTTCCTTTCGGTAGTCATTTGTTTTCCATGATGTGGGATTCTACAAGAGTATTCTTGCTTCTGTAGTAATTGTGAGGGTCGGAGGCATCAAGGACGTCTAGGGTCGGTCAGGAGCCGGTGTACGAGTGCGAGGTTCTGGGGTCCAATTCACTCGGTGAATGCAAGTGTTGAGGCACAGATATATATATATATTATATATTACATATACACTTTAACCCCAGCTATAATAAATAACACATCAATTTCGAAGAGATGTTAAGTTGAAATATTAAGATATTAAACCAATCACAGTAAATACATTTTCTACATTTTATAAATATTATAAATATTAATTCTTCAATAACAAGTGGATAAAATTTAAAAAACCACTTGCACTCAAATTAATCTATTTAGAATTCTTGGTATTATCAGTCTTTAACCATCTGGGAATTTATTTTTAAAAATTATTTTGCATGTCAGAGAAATGGCTTCTCCAATGGAGAACTCAACTGGTAAAACCCCTTGAGTTTTTCGACGATATATTCCGGATGGGTTAAAGGAGATAGTGAAATTTTAGATAAGATGTTTTATGTAGAGCTAATTGAGAACTACGAAAAAGCTAATTACTGAAATGACGCGATTGCTTTCAGTTTCGGAGATATTTTCGGAAAACTCGCTGAAGGGTTGAGTCGAGTTATTCGATTTCGCTGTTTGGGCATCTGCTGTTTTTATTTGTTTAAATAATTCTCGGGGAATTTTCAATTGCGTTGGGGGCGGTGTCTGGTGGGTAAATGGCTTCGTGTTGAACCGGGGGATGTGAATATATTTTTTCGCCCTTCGTTCCAGCTATTCTGCGACTGCGCAATGTTTTCGTTGCTCATTTAATGCTTTACGTCTTTTTTTTTGACAGATGGGCATGTTGTGGGGGTAATTATGAACCACCTGAGCCGTCAGACAGGTTTTGTTTGGGGGGAATGGAAAAAATGGGGAAAATGAGCCCTGAAAATCGGAGAATTCGGAGTATTTGTGGCGAGTGGCTTTTAATGAATGAACTTTAAAGCTCGATAGCTCCATACAGAATGGATGGAGAACTGGTCGATTGAATGAAAGTAAAAAGTTGCAATATTCAACTTCTGTTTTTCGCTCTCGATACAATTATTCCAGATATAACCGAACAATTTCATTCAGGAAAACACTTGAACTACCGAGAATTCAGTAAAACTGATGAATTTATTTATTTCCCACGCATTGTTCAAAATTTATGCATTCATTTCTCCTTTTGTTGAATATCTAAAAATTGAAGAAACGGGGAAATCGTTCACATATTCTAGATGATTTCCGTTCATTTCTTTCTCGTCTCTCTTTTTTTCTTGCGGAGAGGATAATATTCGAAAACCTGACCGTATGGGGCTTTACAGAAACCACCTACAAAATGTATTCCATTTTTCATGTTTTTTTTTTGTGAGGGGAAGAGCTGAGCGGAGGCTTTTAGATTTTATCGCCCAATTCATCTTCGGGTCAGGTTTTTTTAAAAAAGAAAAATACGTTGGAGAAAACTAACGCTCTTTGTTGAATATTTCCAGACAGCTGAGGGAAGGTACACTCAAGGAAAATCGTCTGCAGAATGGCAGCCGATTGACTCTTCTCCCCAGCGTGGAAACTGGGCTTATGGTAAGGCTTTTATGGATTTTTTTTTTATGGGGGAAAACGAATCTGGAGGCCATAAATTTCGGTTAATTATCTGAAAAAAAAACACCATAATTTACAACATTAAAGGGAGAACAACTGCATCTTTATTAAATTATCATGCGGTGAACTTAAAACGACTAAAAAATACGAGGAAAAATCGTTGAATCTGTCCCAAAGTGATAAACAGCGACACGTCAATTAAAAGAATTTGACAAGATATTTATCAGAACAACAATAAAAAAATTCTGTATGATTTTCACAAACAGAATCATTGAAGATAATTTTTTACCATTAATTATTTGTAATTAATCGATGGAGTCGACTTTGATGTACAATGAAATGGAATAACCCGACAATCAGTTGCGGATCGCCGAGGAAAAATGGGAAAAATTCATTCAAATGCGTTTCCTCGATTTAAAAAAAAAAAAAGCGGTATCAATAGATTTCCGTGGCAAGTCCTCATTGCGAATGATTTTTCCTCCATCGGTGTGACATCACCACGTGAATGATACGGGTTTTTGTTGGAGATAATACGCCAAGAGCATTCAAAGGAACGAGACCATCATCGCCATTTGAGTGTCGTGATAATTCTGTTGACTTACAACAGAAAATAATGATACGTCACAATGCATATATCGTAGAAATTCATCAGGCAATAAATGACTCGGAAAATAAGAGAATTCCATAATAGCGGATAAAGGAAGGCTGTTCTTGGAATATCGGATTTATTACCTATTTACTAATCCAGGGACATGGAGTTTAAAATAATTCTCCGAAGACTGCTACTGGTATTGACTCTGAGGATGAATCCACTTACATCAAGATGATTTTACTAGTGTCATATCACTGCTGTGGAGAACAGCAGGTGAAGCATTTCGCCTATTTATCTGGATGTTTCACAATCCTACATCCTTAAGTAATGGATAGGTCAAGGAAATATTATATTGAGAAATTGCGGTCAGGATCAATCTTTTCTTGAATGGAGAAACCCTTTCTCTCGTTGGTTGTGACTGCGGAGTCGATTTCTATTAATCAATTGTTATATCTATTTTTTATTTATTGATTATACATTTATTTTGAAAACTCATCCAAAACTTATTCATCCAAAAAATTATTGACTTCAGGGGGAACTATCACGAGGTCTTTTTTTAAATTAATAAAAGTTAGGAAAAGAAGCAAAGGCGGAGATTTTTATGTTGACGATTTAGGAAGATTCATAGATGTTCTTCTGGATGATATAATTTATTTTTTATGGATATGGGAGAAGATATTCGTAAAAAATTTGCAAGAGATTGGTATTGCTAGGAACTCGCTGAATTTACCATCACTGAATTATCACACCGGTTGTTGTATAAATAGGACAGCGAGTATCTCGAAACAATAATCTTCTTATATCATTCAAGGCTGAGTGTGATAAACCAGGAGGTAGACATGTGCTCTCAAACAATACTAGACTGGAGCGGAAGATGAACGCATATCGCAATGCTCTGGATAAACACCGTTAGCTATGGCATACGGACCTATCGGTCAGGTCACTTGGTTTCTCGGTCATGATATCATTTATTTAATTCTCAATTTCATATTTCAATAAATTTCATTTTCACAAAATTTAATCAAATTTTCTTTCAAATTTAGGAAAATCGCAAGAAAATTATCGCACGATCAAGGAATTTTTCAGTCATTAAATAATTAAATAATTATATAATGCAAGAATAATTTTTTTATGTCAATTTAGGGGTTCTCGAATAATTTAGAAATAATATGGAGTGGTGAGGGGTTCTTGGAGAAAGGGAGGGGAAGAGAAAATAGCAGGGTAAACTGTAAATTTGGGGAAAGAAGGAGAAATTTATTGATTTCTGAGGTTCATGGCGTGTGGAGCATGAGCTCGAGGATTATTATGCAGATGAATGAGAAATAATTCTATTGTGAGGAGAAGGGTCTTATGGTGGGGCCCAAAATCCAAGCGGTCACCATCGGTCACGTAGCATCGCCTCGTGGGAAATATCCTCTTCTGGCTGGTTCTGGCAACGTTGCAGGTCCTTATCGTCACCCTCGTGACTCGTTCTCTCAATATCATCAAACAACAATCGGGCTCAATCCATTCTTTCTCTCGTACACTCATTATTCTCGGGATTGTTCTCAAATTCTTTCACTCCGGTATTGATCGTAATGGATCTTTAAGAATGTTCGACAAACTTTTAATCAAAATTTACGTTTTTCAAATTTTTCCTGCAAATTATTGATTCCCATTTTGAGAGTCATGAAATAATGATCACTGTAGCGAAGTGGTGAACTATGATTTTTTTTCGGCGCCAGTTTTTGCCCAATATCTCGAAATTGGGGAAAGATAACGATTTTTTCAAAATGACCCTTTTCATAGCTCTCATAATTTTCTATAAAAAATGTTTCGATAAAAAATTCGCTATGTTCCCTCAATTTCGAGTTACGGACTTGTCTTAAAGACTGGTCTTAAAAAAATTCACTTATCGTATACCATTTTGTCATTGAATAATTTGTGGGAAGACTGAAAAAACCGGTAATTTTGCCTGAAAGGATCAGGATTCATAAAAAAGGGGGGGTGAATCAGTGGATGCAAATTCGTCGAAAATCTCCTGGACACGTCTCACGACATTATCATGGTAATGCCTCTGGAGGAAAGCTAATCACCCATCGAAAATGACAATCTCCCAGGGTTGGACGAATGGAAGGAGAGACTGGGATTTGTGGATATGTGGCAGTGTTGCCGTGTTGCCGTGTTGGCCAGGGTATGGCGATCCCACCGAGGGTCGGTTTTCCCCACCAGGGGTCCAACCAGACGAGGGGGTTACAGTTCTCAATGCTCAATTCAGCTCAAGCATCTATAGCAACGAGATCTAGATAACGTGGGTGGGGTTGAAAAAGCCTCGGGTCCATAGCTCACTGGCTCCACACTGTCGTCCCCCCTTTTTTCCCCCTCATCTATTTCCCCTAGACCATTGAGTATTTAATTGGTGCCCCCGGGATGTGACACGTGGGACGCATCACTTGGACATGAAATACCCAGAGACAGCAGGTTGCATTTTCCACGCTCACGAATAAATTTTATTCTGTCATGTACCGTCTGTACTTCCATCCATAATCTCATGGGTACAAAATCCAAGAGATTAGATTTTCCGCGAGAGAATATAATAATAACCCTTTCGTTGGATTTCTTTCGGAAATTGTCAGGTTGTCCTGAAGATTAACGAAAATTTGTGGACGTGAAAGCTAATTCTTCAATCGGGTCAAGGCATTTCCTATTGTAATATATATTAAATTTTTATCTTGAAAATAATTGGGTAAATTTAGTCAACTAGACTTGATTTGATGAATTGTATTCTTGTTGTGAATAGATTGTTCTCATGCTGGGGGCGAGTATAGAATCTTTTGAAATTTTTTTTGTCAGGGAATATTTCATTTTTCATTTGTAGCAATTGAAAAATATTTAAGGGCTCAACATAAAATACATTTTCCTCTTCAAGAAATAATTGTCAAAGCATCAGAAAATTTCTCACTTTGAAAATAATTTTCTGCAGTCCCCAGAAAATTTTTCATATTGAGATTTTCATCAGAAACCGATTGCACCGAAGAAAAATTTTATTTTCGGTGGTTTAAACGATTGGAATATTTTTGTTATAAAAATAAATGAAGCGGTGATAGCCTTCGTGAATTGCAAAAATAGAATAAGGAAAATAATTCTTAACTAGAGGAATTGCGGTGGAATTACGATTAATTACTGATGGGAATGAATGATAAGAATCTCAACATCATTGTCGCAATTCAATATCGTAATGAATGAATATGAAGGTTTGTAAATCGAATTAGGCGAAGCTTTAAAGTATAAAGGAAGTCCGTTAGGTGTTCGGGGAAGTTACATAGGGATGGCCAAGTGATCACCCAGAAATGCCCCGGTAGGAGAGTAACGGTGGAGCTTCGCTGAACCGCGAGGTTTCCTCCGACTCAGGGTCTTCTTGGGATTCGATCTCTTTTTTTTTCCACCGAACATTTACAGGAATCATCCCCATTCAGTGCATACGAGGATTTATTCAAAAGGGAGAAATTAATTACTAAAAATCCCTCGAGGAAGATGAACACTTGTCCATTCTCCTGTTGCTGAATGATGCCCTACCACCGCTGCATTTTCATATGATCAAAATTTTTCTATTTTAGAAGCTGTCGGTTGGTTTTATTTCTGTGCTGACATTGCAATTGAAATTGGAATGAATGAACAAATAGTGATGAAATCATCTGAATTTTTCTCAATTCTATTAGTTGAATTATAAATTTTAAAGTCCCTCGTAATTACAGTGGGATATTGAAAATTTTTCACTTCTTTCACATTTTTCACAGTCAGAGTTACAAGGAAAAAAAATGTTTAGATCGCTAGTTCGCCAGTTGCTGCTTGAGGTAACAATAAAAAAAAAGTTCTCCATTATCACAATCAAAGAGGGTCCCTTTTGCCGAACAATTGTAAAAAAAAAAGCAACGTATTTCCATTCTCTCCCCAAACATTCAATTTATCCGAGGATAATTCAAAAAAATATCCGTAATATTTCCCCGCGCCTTGGCCCCACTTGCAAGGTCTCCCGCTCATTCAGAGATCCACAATAACCCACCTCATTGTCCCTGAACACAACGAAAACTCCATTCTCTCCCATCCCATTTAACACGACAATATTATTTATTTTCCAGGGACAACGCCCAGAGCAGAGTGTAATGCAGGCACTGGAGTCGCTGAATGATTCCCAGGTGAACGACTTCCTGTCTGGGATAGCCCCCTTGAACCTGACAATGCGACTGGGTGATCAGATGATGTTAATTCAGCTGCAACTGTCAACAGTGACACCGACCACACCAGTTGGTGCTCCAGGCCAGTCTGGTGTGCAACGCCCACCCCAGACCACCAGTGATAGAAGCGATACAATCGGTGCATGTGGTACCACGACATCATCATCGTCATCATCATCTCCAGCATCAACATCTTCAGTATCAAGCACAAATGATACAAGCTCACAGAGACGAAGTGGTGAGCATCTTGCAAGGAGCATGAGAATCACAAAACAGAGTGGCAGTGGTACCACATCGTCATTGATAAGCAGCTTGGCGTCAGCTCTACAGGCAGCAAGTTGTAGCCCGAGCCTGTCGACCGCCACAACGACAACTAATCCCTGCACGAGTGATCGCTCAATGTCGTCAACGCCCTCGTCCTCGTCCTCGAGTCAGTGTGACAATAGTGCCGCTCCAGACTCATCAAATTCCTCTAGACTCTTCTGGAATCGTCGACCCTTCTCCCACTATCGACACAATCATCATCACCATCATCACCATCATCATCACCATCATCATCATTACCATTATCATCCGAGAAACAAACAGGTCTCGTGTGAGAACCATCAAGCTACCTCAAGCCTCAATGAGACACCACCGCCATCACCAACGCCCAATCAGCAGGGCCAGGACACCAGGTCCTATACACCACCAAAGAAGAAGATTTGTTTCATGGGGCATCATCGTTATCACCAGGAGGACAGCTCTGGCTGTGAGGGAAGTCCGCAGAGCAGTGGATCCAGTGGTGGGTTGGGTGGAAGCGAAAGAGTTACCACTGCCACTTTGGACACTAGGGCACTTGCTGAGGCATCGAGGAATCTCACGCAGAAACTCAAGCAGCTGTCTTCTGAGGTACTTACCTCGCGGGTCGACCTCGCCGAGGTATATTTACCGAAGCCAGCTCCCCAGCCTGTGTTTTTATACTTTTTTTCCGGGTATAGGGTGCACTGTGGCAGATTGAGATATTTTCTATTCCCCAGATATTTCTCCGTCTTACAGAGATCGAGTCTTGGGTAAAACATTATTTTCACATGATAAACTCATTTACCATTGACTTATTTAGAAAAATATTGTCATTAAATAAATCTCTCAAACTTTTATGATTATAAACTTAATGAACTTGTTTTCGAAAGATAACAGGTTAAATAAATTTTTCTCACTTGCGTGAATACCGAGTTATCTCGATGATGACAATATTCACCAAAAAATGTTCTCTGTAATTGACTCATTCACTGTTTCATTAATGAATTTAACGAAAATATCCAATCGAGATGAATAATTCCACGTGCGCCTGCCCTTACTGTCGATAATTATCATTAAATGCCAAAATTACAGCGCGAAATATTGACTTTTGTCTGTGACTTTCGTCAGGAACATGCACGACGCAGACAAGGTGCAATAATCGAGAGCATGCATCACCATGGAAAGGGCGTTTATTCGGGGACCTTCAGTGGTACTCTGAACCCAGCCCTCCAGGATCGCAATGGACGCCCAAAACGTGACATAAGCACAATCATTCACATCTTGAACGATCTACTCTGTGCAACACCGGCGTCAGGAGTCACGAGTGTTGGCTACTACAGATCATCACATCATCACAGACATTCCAGTGGTCGCCAGCAGTTGCCTGGCAGTTCCACAGCAGCCGGGGGCCAAACCGTCGAGAATCCTCCGGAGAATACATCCACTTATTCCATGGGTTTGTATTCCACCTCAAAAATTAAATATCTCCAGCATTTCCAACTTTACATTCACTTTAATGAATTCCTAAAAAAATGTCTTCCATCCTTTCCCTGAATGGATTAATCATTAAAATAATTTCGTCTTTAACGACTCTCAACTTTATAATGACCCATTTCGATGAGAAATGTCAACGGAGCTATTCTAATGAAAACAATAAAGAAAGGTTCTTGACAATTACTCATTGCCGCAAGTGGTCGAGTGAAATGAATGGCATTTGGAAATTCTTCTTAATTACAGATTCATCTCGAAAAATTAAACAATTTCGAGGGGAATTGATGTTTAACGAAATTAAAAGTCCACTCGTCTTGCTTTACGATTTTATTGCCATTGAAATATTTAAAATATTTAATATTTATTTCTCACTGTGGATGATAAATAAATTGCAGAAGAGCTCTCGAAGGAGAACGAAGCAACGAAAGGGAAGATGCGTCGTCTTCGTCTGGTGATGGAGCAGCGTCGTGCTAAGAGGAAAGCAAGAAGACAAGCCCGAGCAGCTCCTTACACAACTCAGTGGGCAGCAGTGGCTCCAACACCAGGAGGAGCTCACGATCCTAACACATCAGCCTCATCAACGAGTGCTAATGCAAAAGAGCCACAAAATGAGACCGAGGCCACCACTGGGCCAGTGGTCGCTTGAAATTTATCCATCATTCAGCGGCTCTCACTTCCACGGTAGTTCCACACAATTCGAATTAAAAACAAAATGATTAAAAAAATTAATGAAAATTTTGAAATCCACCTGCTTCGAACTTATCGATTCGCTCACCTATCTCCATCCCAACATAGATGACAATAAATTTAAGGTGGTATTTTTTTTATTAAGAATGATTGTTTGATCTTCTTGAGTAAATTGTTGATTTTGTAAGTAATTTTTGTGACCTCTGGGAACTGCATCTTAATGACTGTAATTGGTGCAATGATTTATCAACTTGCTTAGGTAAAAATGCAAGGGCCAACTGGCGATTTGTAAGAATTTCCATTGATGATTCATTAGGAAATTCATCGCCGTTTGGGAACCAGCAATTTAATAAATATTGTTTAGTGTCCCTGTCCCCCATCATTGATGATTAAATAATTCATAATAATTCAATTCAATTTTTCGTGGGGGACTGATGTAATTGGGCGATTTAATCTAGGTTTTCGAGTTAAAGAAAAAAAATTAGATACATTTGAGTTATTGGTATTTCGTATTAATTCGATGGTTGTTGATGATTGAGTGGAGTGGGTTATCACTCCAGTTTCTTTTTCTTTCTTTTTTGGTTCTTTTTCTATTATTGGAAGTGTTATTTCGTATGGGGTTTTTTGGTGTAGTGGCCCACATGGGTCACACCCTCGAGACAATTTTTTTATCGCTGTTAAGGGAGGAATAGATGAAATAAAGATGGAACAGAGGCTCTGACCTCTGAATACGTTTTAGGAATTTTCTTTGGGACAATTTTATGTCTGAACCATGAGTGCTTATACTTATCGGGTTTTACGAGGATGTTTGCTGTCTGTTGATTGGGAGAGAATTGGAAAATCGAGGCTTGAAGGGAGTGTGAGGGATGAATAATATAGAGAATGTGTATGGGCCCATCCTCTAGGTAGATTTAGCAGACTCTTATTTGCGCATAAGGTCGTACTATAAATGAATAAAACATTGTATCACCCTAATAGTATACTGCCTTAGGTTATTTAGGATGAATTATTATTACTACTGTCATTATTATTGAATATTACTACAGTTTTGCAAACTGGCTCAAGATTGTATCATACACACTACTGAAACACTATGGAGTACCAAAATAAATAAGATTGCTTGCTAAGTCCAATTAGTGTGCTCTATTATTTATTTACCTAGGGAATTTCCTTCGGCATTTTTTCATCAGCATTAGAGCTTTTTAACCAGGGCTTTCACATTTTTAAAACAAAAAATGCAGAGCAATGCTTTCAATTCATTTATTTAAATTTCCTGATTAATTATCAGTGAGTATAAATTTCTTAAAATCATTACAATATGAATATTCTATATATCTCTACATCAATATAAACTTTTTTTTCTTAATTATTACGGCAGTTGCCACTGAGTGGACCGTTGTAGTTTTCGTAAAAAATGACGAGAAATCCAAAAAACGTTAAATATTTTATAAAAATTCAACATTCATGATTGCCACCTGATTATTATCACGTGGATTCTACCTATTTCTGTGTTTCAGGATGAGTGAAACGTTAATAAATTACTTGGCTAATCGTCAACATTAATTCATGATAAGTGAGGCGGAAATGACATTTTACTGATCGGTAAAAACTATTGTGTTGATTGACGTGATTGGAGAACTGGAAGCTGTATTATGGCACAATGCTGTACAGTTTATTCAATCTGAATATCATTACTCGGTTACACAACGGAGTAGCTGTTCACCGGTTTATTCCATTTTGGCAGATTCATTTTATTTAATTACAAGTCTCAGTGAAATGTGAAGATAAATTGCATCTGCAATGAGTGGAAAAATAATTTGATTTTCCATCAAATTCATTTTTTATACCTTTTTCCAAAATTCTACTTGCGAATCTGAAAACATTTATTGAATGCCAGAAGTCGTGGTGCAGTGAAGAATCGTTATGTTTTTCAAGACAACTGATAATAACATATATTTTTTTTAATGTTTGGCACTTAATTCAGTAGTGAAGTGGCGAATGTAAATTATTCCGCAGCTTCAGTACTGGATTCTGATTGATTTTTCACTGACTCTTTTATTATTTTATATCAGGAACTACGTAAATTGGTAATGTGTTCATTTATCTTCCCATCTCCCTTTATTACAAGAATAAATGACTCCTAAGAAGTACCAGACAAAAATAGTCACAGTGTAAAGACATCGATTAAGTCCAATGAAAGAAATGAGAAAATGCTTCTATCAACTTCTTCCCTGAATTCATCATTCAAGTTTAAAACATAACATCCAAGGCAAATTTACCTATCGACCTCTGACTGGTCAGTTCCATCAAAAAATCACTCAACCCCTTCTCCAGAATCGATTTGCCATCCCGTGAATTTCCATTTTAATTTCACGATGGAGTAAAAAAAAAACGAAAATCCTCAAAAAGTCGAAATTCACTCGCTCACGTGTTACACGATTACTGAATTTCAAATGAAACCCAAAGAAATGTGTAAAAGAGTCAATTGCCTCTGTGTCCCTCTCCACCGGTCAAAATCGTGTCGAAAAATTTCTTTCCCAAAATCAATTACCATCACTTGAGTTTCAATTTAAATTCCAGTGGGTAAAACTGAAAACTCTAACCCCTTGTCCAATCATTTTACCGGTACCCCTAATAAAGATTGATCTTTTTGGTAATAGTTTTTCGACACATGTGACAAGTCTTGAGTGGTGCAGAGCAGTGTTCACAAGCTCCATGTCCACAGAGAAAAGCAACGTTTCTCCTCCTCTCCATGCAGATGCTGCACATGTTGGCCTCTTCAAGATCAGCAACCCTGGTCTCCAAGTACCTGAGCCTCTCCAAGTCTTTATTCGTTTCTCTCTCCGTGATCTCCTCTTTCTGCTCGTTCTTGACAGTCTCCTGAAGACCAGAGGTTTCCCCCTGAGTGTCATGCCCAGTGGAGCTGCTCAGGTCATTCTGATTCTCCAACACCTCAGGACCATTCATCACCTGAGGGCTCGTCACCTCAGGAACTGCACCCTCTTCAGCAACTCCCTCGACGACCACCTGCACTGGATCTCTTTCCCTGTTCCTGAAGTGCACGTAGGACATGAGAAGATCCTGGACACCCGCTGCACTCCTCTCAGGAGTCAAAAGATCAAATGGAAGCTTGCCCTTGGCATTCTTGGCATTGATGAGGTACATACCACTGGCGCTGTTATAACTAATGAGAAAACAGCTGAGAGCCAGCTCTGTGGGACCATTGGCGTTCACCAGGTCCTGCCAAATGGCGTGAATCTTCGGCGAATCCCGACGGCTGTCGGGAGTGGGAACTGCCGTAAGTCGATGAAGACTTTTTCCTATTGCAATGTGTAAAACTGTGTCTCCATCCTCATCGATCGACCTTATGTCAGCGTTGTGGTTCAGGAGAAGCTCCACTAGACTCCAGTGGCCTTGTGATACTGCCAGATGTAAGGAGGTCTGACGACGGTTATTCCTCAGGTCTACCTTTGCTCGTCCACTTGATTCTGATATGAGGATCTGAGAGACCTCCCGGTGACCGTTGAGCGCTGCCAGATGCAGGGCTGCGAATCCATCGTCTTTCTTTACATCGACCAAATTTTGAATTCGTGTCATGAGTTGTCTGGTTGCGTGTGTATTGCCCTTCAAAGCAGCATGATGAAGAACATTGAAGCCCCTCTTATTTCTCAATGTGAAATCAATTCTCTCGCAATTAATCAATGCATCGATGATATCAGTTGCGTCTTTTCCAATGGCATCGTGCAAAGCAGTGTCTCCATAAGAGTCCTGTAAATTTACATTGCAATTGTGGCGTAATAAAATATTGACACAGGCGGAGTTTTGTTTATTGACGGATACGTGAAGGGCAGAACATCCACTGTTGTTGATAGCGTCGATGGGTGCCCCTCGATTAATGAGCAACTCCATCACCGCAGGCTGACTACCAAAAGCTGCGTAATGCAAGGCTGGATCACCGTCCTCGTCCACTGCTCGGAGGGAGGCCCAAGCGTCCAGGAGAAGTGCACACAGCTCTCGATTGCCCTGATAGGCCGCCACCTGGAGGCAGGTCTTCTTGCCACCCCAGATGCCATTAGGACGAGTGTCGACACTTCCTGAATATTTCCGGAGGAACTCCCGGACTAAGGAGAGATCAGCCTCACCTCGGGCTGCATCAAGCAGAAGTTTCTCCACATCTACTGCTGCACCATCTGCTGCTGGAGACTCCATAGCAGGGGCTTGATGACGATTCAGCTCGACTTCCTGACCACTCGATAGCTTCGTTACACTCAGGGGATTCAGTGTCCACGTGTGACCCTCTAATGTCACCCTCAGGTCTCCATCTGGATAAATTTTTATGACTTTCCCTGTTTTGCCTAATGCACTCTTCATAACGTCAATCCACTCGCCATGGCCCTGCTGATAATTTTTAACAGTAGCAGCATCGCTCTTAACCTGCACCATATCGCCAAGGGCGAAGGTCTCTTTACCAATGACTTTAGTGAGTGCCCTGGGATGAAAGGTCCACCTATTATTGCAACCATCGTACTGCACCCTCATATCCCCCTTATCAGTGATTCTGTGGACAGTGCCAACCTTGCCAATGTACTCAGCCATCCTGGGATTCCATCCCCCATGACCAATCTGCATATCCTTGAGTGTCTCGGCGTCGCGCAATACCTGCACCTTGTCCCCAACGTTGAAAGCCAAAAGACCAGGAAGAGATGTGCTTGGAGCACTAATACATGGCGAAGAGTTGGTTGCATCACTCAATGCCGTCACAGACTGACCCAACACTGGTAAATGCTCCTTGTAGTAGGTGCCACAACTCGCCTCCTCGATGTAACACAAGTCCACGCAGCCTTTGTAACCCAATCTGTAGACATTGGTGCTCCCTGACGACCAAGTGACCGTTGCCACCGAACGACTGCTCTCATTATCCCACCCACGAATATCCATCACTCTTCCAGTCTTCCCGGGTCCACCATCCTGATTACTCCACTCCCAGTCTGGCCCCCTCACAACTTTTGCACCGATGAATATTCCTTTGAGGGAGATCTTCGTGCAGCCCTCTCGAGGGGTTAACTCCACTCCGGTGGCATCGGCAGTTTGGAATCTCTGAAAAACATGGCTGAGATCGTGGACATCGTCCATGTAACACTGGGTACATAGATCGTAATCGAAGCACTGTGCACACTTCCATCTTATGCCAACAATCCCATGGCTTTTGCACCCATCGCATACGATGGAATAGTGCTGAACACCTGCTGCTGCATTATCAAACACCAATAAATCGTAGTAACCCTGGTAACCAATTCTGTAATTACTCCTTGACCCGTAATCCCACTGGACGATTACTGTTTTGTCAGGGGTTTTGTCAGTTGAGCTTGATGCTGTCGTCGTGCCATTCACTGGAGCCAGTGGAGACTTTCCAATCTCTACTACTGTTCCAGCATGACCTTCTCCACCATCCTGGTCTGTCCATTTCCAGTCCGGACCTCGAACCACTCTCAATCCAACTTCCAACATCTCCAGTTATCCTTTCCCCCTGGAATGGTTAGAGAATTTTTATGGTAATTATTCAAATGAAATTCAATTATCCATTGCAGAAACAATATATGACTACATTTTATTGCGTGGTAAGGAGAGCAAAGCAAAATTGAAATTTCTGGAATTTTTTAATAGTTCCTGATGCTAGTATTTTTAATTCTCGAACACAGAGGATGGAATCGGCTTCAGATGAAAGCTTTAATTGTTATAAAACAATTGTGAAAGTATTCGGATATCATCACTGGAGTTACTCAAGATTTATGTACATTCTCCGAATTAAAAGGGCGTTTACATTATTTATACTACAAAGGTCGATGTGCAATGACAAAAATTGTTACGATTAGATTACGTATCGAATGCACAAGAGATTATTCTGTAACGAGAGACTAAACCTAATCAGGTAAATTTTATATTACCATTGATCAAGATTTTCACACCGAATTCTCATTAATAAAGCGGAATTTTTTTAGGGAGGTTTTAGGTATTTCGTTTTTGAAACTGTTTTTTGTTTTTAAATTGAATATCTTGTGGAAATTATGTACTATAAGAATAAAATTTGAATAGTCTCATCACATTGAGAAAAATAATCACTTCTGTCAAGTAAATTGATTGGCTCCAAGCAAATGTATTTTAATATTTGTATTTGAAACGTGTGAAATTCCTTATAATCAGTAAATTTCTTCACGAAAAGTAATTTTTATTCTCAGTGCAGGAGTAGTTGAATTTTCTTTTCCACTTTCCAACCCGTCATCCAAGTGTAACAATTAAACATTATCCTTTACCTGAGAACCCAAGAAAATGAAAAATATATCCAGGTTATTTTCCTCTTCCCCACAATAAATAAAAGTTAAAAATACTGATTCTTGGTAATAATACACCTTGAATTACAGCAAGGAGCGGTGAGAATAAATTCATGACGTGTGATGACGAATTTGTCAGACATGCAATTCATCAGGATTTCCACTGAATCATGCATGCCATATTCCTCACCCATAGAATTAAAAACAGAAAACTCTCTAATTGAAAATGATTTCTAGTTTGTCAACAATTCCACTTTTGGAGTTAATCAAATGCACAACTGCGAAAAATTAGATTACACGCTGAGGTGGGAATAACACGTATGTCCATACCTTTTTTATTATTCAGATGAAATCGAAATAACAATAATTTATCCCCAGATTTTCCACGTAATCATAGTGGCAGCGGTTGAAATTGGCCTCATGTAGGCGGATTATATTTTGGATGTTTCACGGAAATAGATAAGAGTTGTTGAAAAAAAATAAAGAAAAAAGGAAATTCACGGCGGAAATTAGTACATATATACATTGCACAGCATCGTATATATATGTGGGTGAACATGAGGGGGGATGTTTTAGGGGTGATTTTCATCGAGTGTTTGTCGTTTAGTGCGAATTTACTTTCAGCTGACGGATTTGTGGAGATGTGGAGAATCAGCTCATGTGTTATCGATTCATTAGTTGACTTTGGAGGAACATAAACCGGTAATATTTTCGTTTTTTCCACCAACAGTCGTCAGCAACATGTTCCTCGCGAAATTTGTGAATATTTAAAAACCCAAGTGAGTTGAGAGAAGCTGTAGAGCAATTGTCTGAGGCTCTCTATTTTTTGGAGCTGTTTGACGTACCTTTTTCCTGATTTTTCCTTGATGGGTTTTAATTTTTTTTCAATGATGCTGAGATACTTCCATCAATTGATAAATTTAGAGTAATTGTCGGGTGTTTTTCTAGTTTTTTATTGTGATAATTGGGGGATAGTTGTGGAGAATTGCAAGGTTTGGCGAGTTCAGGTTAGATGTTATTTGTTTTGAAAGTCGATGGATGACCCATTACATGAGATTCAGTTCTTAACAATGTTTTTTTTTTAATTAAAAATCCTCCAGTCTCCTCTCCGCTCAAATGTATTTTTCACTGGATGCTCTCCAAACCTATGGATTTAAGTCTTGAATCTTGAATTTTAAGTTCATGAATTGGATACTCTTTATTGCAAATGACGCAGTACCTTTTAAGTTATGAAAAATATTGTTTCTGAATTACATTAATGTCCTGGAGTTATTACAGGCACAAAATGAAGTACGCGACGTCACCCTCGACGAGTCGTTGCAGTTCTCCCATGATGTTCAGTTCGAGTTCATCTCTGCCAACTCCTATCACATACAGGTATCTTATAATTATAATTACATATTTATAATTAAACCATCCACAATTATTCAACATTAAAAATAATTAGTTTGTTCAATTTCCGTTATTCCAGGCATAATTGCATGGGTGCTGCGACAAAATGCTACAAATATCTCAGAAAACTACTAAAGTTTCAGCAAATGGACTTCGAATTCGCAGCCTGGCAGATGGTTTTCCTCTTAGCCTCCCCCCAGAAAGTGTACAGAAATTTTCAAAACCGAAAACGTAAATATTGTGATGTAATATTTTCATTTTATTCTGATATTCCTTGATTATTTATGGATTAATAAATATTTTTTCAGAGACCAAACAACAATTCGCCAGAGATGATCCAGCATTTCTTGTTCTCCTCGCTGGATGGCTTTTCGTATCATCAGTTGGATTTGCCATCGTCTTGCGATTAAATTTCTTTCGATTCCTTCAGTTCTTCGTGTATACGATGTTCTTGGATTGTATACTCGTTGGATTGTGTGTCGCTACAGTATTTTGGTAAAATTATCATTTATTATTGTGTATTATAGTCGTGATAACTCATCAATTCGCCATTTATTATTCTCAGGTTCATAACCAATCGTTATTTACGATTAGATCACACCCAGGATGTCGAATGGGGATACGCCTTCGACATCCATTTGAATGCATTCTTTCCACCTCTGGTGATACTGAACTTCCTACAATTATTTGTGTATCATGGTAATAATTTCTGCTAGATTATTCCCTAAAATCCCAGGAATTTTATTATTAATATATATTTTTTTCAGCAATCATAAATTCTGATTCCTTCACTGCCAGATTTTTTGGGAACACCTTCTGGCTAGTAGCAGTTGCTTATTACGTGTACATAACATTTTTAGGATACACCAGTAAGTTCAATTAAATTTCCATCGATACTTAAAGATTTCGGATATTCATAATAACGCCATAATCTTCATAATACACAATACAAAAAAAAAAAGTAGAAATGGAAAAAATGAATTTATTGGAGTCATCATTCCGTTTGAATGAGGAAGTGAATAATTATCTTTTGCAGGTGTTGAAATACTTCACAGAACTGCTGGTATCCTTTGGGTTCTCCCTTGCGCCTTCCTAATTTATATTATATTCCTTTGCGCTGGAATCAACGTAACTAAAGAAGTCATGTCACTTTACCACAACAGAGTCTCATAATAAAACAATAAATAAATATCAAAAACGAAAAATGTTGATTTCGTAAAGAAAACTAAAGCACTGACAATGTATTTTTGTATATCTAGAATATTGACTCATCATCAATGGTCTACCGATGTAAAAAGGTCAAATGAACTAGTTCAGTAAGTTACTCATTTATTTTCTATTTTTCTTCTCTTCCTCTTCTGCTCGTAGATAGAAATTTTTCGATTGTTACAATTTATGTATAGATATAATATTAGAATATTACATTCTATTAAATTCCTCTCTCATTCCACATTTCTCTCGTTTGTTAAAAAAAAAAAACATGTTTTGAAACTAAGTGCGAACAATTAATTAGACGATCTACTCCAATTTCATTCGTTCTCATGGAGTATTTCATCTATAGAAAATAGCAAGAAAATATAGGAATTTCATTAAGTATTTTATTTATATCCGGAGCTGTCTGCACTAATTAAGAGGTAATGCGAAGCCAAAAATTGTTGAAAAATGAAATTTCGATAAAGAAAATGAAGGTTAATTAATAGGCAAAAAGAGGGAGGGTAATTCAATTATACAAATGCTCATTCTCTTCACGCTAATCATTTCATATTTTCCAATGGGAATAACAGTTCCTGTTGGCCTTGGAACGATGCATATTACTTCGTTCTTTTCTCTTTAACAGTCTCGTAAGCTCTGGAGGTATTGAACTTAACCACATGCAACAAAAAAACTCCCCAATGGTCTTCAGTCGTCAAGATTCTGAGATAATAAAAAATTAGCAGCAAGATTTTCATTCTTTTCACAGGCAAAATACGCCTGGAGTGCGAGATGCTCGGGAAAGCCTAGTGCCTTGAGCCTCTCAATCGCTTCTCTGTCTTGAGGGGACACAGGAATAACACCAGCACCCGCACCACCTCCACCTGTTACTCCACCACGAGCAGCTCCACCAGCTGGAGATGATGCTGGTGCACCTTGGGTTGGATTACCAGCGGCTGCACCTACTGAATCAGTAGAAATTCTTCATTAAAAAATATCTATTAAATTCTTTTAGAAGATGAAAATATTTTCCTAATTATTGGGAAATTGGCACATAAACTTGTGAAATAATCGTACCAGGTTCATTGAGCATACGAACAAAAGCCTCCTGATTCTGAGAAATGAGCTGAAGTAGCGCTGGGTTTGATTGTCCGATCTGTTGAAGAACAGCATTGAGTAGCTGTGGATTTTGTTGGATAACTTGACGCATCTGTTGAAATTGGGGCTGCGTCCTTAAAAATGCCAGTGGATCCTGTCCCCCCTGTGGATCAACCAAATTATCCTGTCCCTCGGGATTGTCGACCTCGGGGGGATCCTCGAAGAGTTGTGCTGGAATTCCAGTCAACAGGTACTCCACAGCTCTATCAGGATTATTGAAACTAGCACGAAGGGCTTGCTCCACCTGATCACGCTCGTAGCCCATATCCATTATATTATTCACCATTGTGTTGTACTCCTCGCCCATAAGGAGAGCACTCTCTGATTGAGTTCTAGCATCAGCTGCTGGGGGAATCTCAGGGATCGTCACAGGGGTTGTCCGAGCTGCTGCCTGAACTGCAGGAGGATTTGACGGGGCAGCAGAGGATGCACTTGTGGATTTAAATTTATGTATAATTACTACATTAAAAAATATTACATTCCACCAAATTAATCCGTTATTCAAATGTCTCTCTTGTATGTTTTAGTGCCAAAAGTAATTTCTCCAAAAGTCACTCACTATCGCGATCATTCGAAAAACACAGTGGGGTCACGTGGGGCTCAAGCCTACATACATGAATAAGAATAATTACCTAGTTGTCGACTGATCTTTACTCTCCTCCGGCTGACTTTCGCTGGTCCCAGTGGCACCAGCAATTTTCGGCTTTGTAACCATGACTACAATGAACTTCTTCTCATCGATATTATACTCAGTAAGTGGATGGTCGTCCGTCAATATTTTCCCTGAAAACGAATTCTCAAATGCCTTCAATTCTGCTGAGAATCTGAGCTCTGATTATTCTCCCCCAATGTTCTAACGATAATGAGTGATACTACACTATCTTAAAGTGAGGTTATGTCCGATAATTTACCCGCATATATCAATTTCTGATGCTGTGCCGGCCATTCCTTTTGTGCTTCAATTTTGTCTTTGAGCTCCTTCACCTGAATAACACCAAGGCTATTAATTTATTACCATTTGTCCATTGTTTACATGAATAAATACGATTTCTTTACCGTTTTTGATGGATCAATTTCAACAGTGAAAGTTTGTTGCTGGAGATTTTTCAACGTGATAATCATCTTTACGCTGTCTCGATGTCAACCTTTACGAGCAAAATCCTTTGTCCCTCTATGTACTAATTATTACTAAAATATATTTATATAGTACAAAGTGTGGGGGAGCCAAAAAAGGACGATTTTTCCCTTCCTTTTGAAAAATATTCTGGTGACGATGAGTCGGCACTGAACAGCACACCAGAGCCCAATGTGGCAACACTCGTAATCATAATATGTACTTGCACACTTTTCTATGTGTCTGTGTCCACCGAAGAGGATTGACTGAAGTAGAGGCTCAGTTCTGAGGGTTTGAGTGACCCCAGCGGCATCGTAGTACTGCACCCCAAAAGAGGGAGGGCGCAACGGGGTGAATTTTATTTTCTGCGGTATGAATTCTTTTTGTTTTTTATTTATTTAACCGAAATTCAGCCGACTGTAGAATGAGCGGAAGGGGGAAACCACATCTTGTGAAATTTCAATGGAAAAAATTATTCAATATGTTGAAGATATACCACTAATGAGTTTATATTTTTAAATGAGC